ACAATTCTTTTGATGACATTTTAAAATGTTATAAAGAATTCCTAAAAGTCATTTTGCCATAAAAAAGTTTAGAAAAGCAGAGTTGAGACAGATTGTATCATGGATTAAATATTAATGGATATTGTAATAATTAAGACATAGTTACTCCTGCAAAACTCTTCTTCTCTTTGTTATCGAAATATCTGGGACCTCCGACCTGGAGATTGAGCAGTACGCCCCAGGGTCTTATACAGGATAGCCGTTAGAACTTTGCTCCGTTTGTCCAACTAAGGCCTGGGGACTTGAACTTCAAGGAAGCTCTCAGACTTTTATACCTTCATTATGCCTACTAGAGAACTAAGGAGGACACCGGAGGATGCTTCTCCAGATTCATCAGCATCCCCAGCATTGTAGAGCAACTCTTCACAGACCTGTTTTGGAATCAGCAGCAGAACCAGATCTTACTGAGTACGGAGACGCTGCTCATTGCAGAGCAGCTCAATACACATCTGTGGTAGCAATTGCTGCAAGATACATAGGATAACTAAAACTTTCTAGATGCACAAGCGACTCCAGGGACAGCTCAAGGAGCAGCTTGGATTGCAAGTACAGCTAACATAGCAGAGACTCTAGGAACAGCTCAGGGATCAGCTCACACTGTAAGTACGGCAAACATAGCAGAGACTATAGGAACAGCTTGGGAAGCAGCTTGAACTGTAAGTACAGCTAACATAGCCGATACTCTCGGAACAGCTACGGGAGCAGCTCGGATTGCAAGTACAGCTAACATAGCAGAGACTCTAGGAACACCTCTGGGAGAAGCTTGAACCGTAAGTGCTGCTAACATAACAGAGACTCTAGGAACAGCTCCGGGGAGCAGCTCAGATTGTAAGAATGGCTATAAAACTTGGACTCAAAGAGGAGCTCCAGTAGTTAAAGATGCAGCTGAATACACAATAAGAGCATCCCAGATTGTATGAGCAGTCATATCAACAGAGATTCTGAGAGCATTTGAACCAGATAGAGTAATAGAGGAAGCGGCTCAGACAGATCCTGAACTGTAGCAGCTGAATATATAAACAAACTTTTTGAGGAACTCAAGAATAGCAAAGCTTCACTCTTCATCTGGATCTTGGAGGTAGAGGACTTACAAACCAACTAAAAAAGGAATAGTGGACACAGAGAAATCTACTACAAACCAACTGCAAACACAAGGGTTAACAATACTCGTTTGTAGAATTGAGAATTACAAGAAGGTATAGGAGAGACAAACAGAAAGGTTAATCATACTCGTTTGTAACCGAACTAATTGATCTCATACCATACCTGTATCTGGAAGCAGAGGAAAATGAATCTAAATAATTCTGCTCAGCACTATCTTAACTTTAATAAATTATTTAATTAAATTTTACAATATTTCTAATATCTATATGATATCAGATGAAAATAGTTAAGAGCTTTATTATATGGATAAAAAACCCTTTAGGAAAACATACCAAAAGTAAAGGTAGTGGTTTCTATTTAGAGATAAATGATCGATTTAAAAACTCTGTATTATATCTTCTGTAAAGTAAAACAAGACATTCGTATTATCGTATATATGTTCGCTATATCTGGCCAAACGGCTGGACCGAATGGGCTGAAATTTTTTTGAGGAAACGGATGGGTCAGTGCGGGTAACATAGGCTAAAGAAATTCTAAATTTTTTTCTCAATTTTTTTTCCACTGGCAACGCCGGTCCCTTGAGCTAGTATTTTATTATTTATGTTTACATATTCTATATCCTACTTTTGGAGAATACAATAAACAGAAAAGATAAAAGATAAATGCCCTCTGAGGAAATATATTCAGTGCAGTGTATAAATGAACCATAGATCTATTGGGAATAATCATGCAGAGAATAAATTGTAAACTAGAAATAAAAAGGTTATAGTATCTGCACTCTGCAGAAATGTATTTTGCATAGTGTATGATGTCTTTAGGGATAATGCATTCGACAGAGCGCACGGAATGACACAAGTTAGTGATCACGGTTTAATAAGATCTCTACTACTTGACGGTCAATTAAAAATATTTGCAGCTTTGAAAACTTCGCTACATAAAGTTTGTTAAATAAGTCCGACTCCCATGCAAATACTATGACTTTCCTTTCTTACGCTGATTATTACTAAAATATTTTTATGATAATCGATAAGATTAGTTAACTGTAAAACAGATTTCGATATCTAACACATATCGTTACACAATTCTTGAAAAAATTATGTCTAAACGTACATTAGTTTTAACAAATGTGCATTGTGCATGAATGGCAAAAAAGTGTGCTAAAAAAACGTTTAACAGATTAAATTCATTCATTCTATATAATAAAAGCTCAGTTCTTACTGAAAATATAATATATGCCGATATTGATAATTGGTGCTTTATGCTAATTTTATATAAATTGGAAAAAATATACATTTAAACATCTAAAATGTATATTTAAACTGAACAAGGTTGAAAATACTAGATACATATATATATATATATATTTATATAGATATGTATATATATACTAGGCTTTTATGAAAAGAATTCTGGGATTTCCAAGATTAATATTTTTTTTTTTTTAAATAAAAAATTATAAACACAAATTTTTCAAATTTTGATCATTCATAAATCTTCCCTGGGGTCACAAAATTTGGGCCCGATCGGTTCAGCCGTTTTGACATTTATTGGATACAAACGGACAGATAGAAAAGTCAAATTTATATATAGATTTGTATATATTTGTACATATAGGGATTTAATCATTATAGTGTACATACAGGGATTTAATCATTTTATTACCGCATTCTGCACTAACAAGAAGTTCTAAAATAATCTGTCACAAAAGTGCCAGTCGAAAGTTCTGAGGCGGCTGTCATTAAATCTCTCCCCCTCTCAAAATAAACCAAGCATAAACGATGGATAATACTTTTAGAACTAAACGCTTTTTAAAATTGAGAAAGAAAATTTTGTACAGTTTTGATTTGATTTAGTGTTTACAAAACGTAATTTGTCTGTAATTAAGTATGTTTAAATCTTTGCTTAAATATCCTCCGGCTCTCTATTGGTGACATGACATTTATATCAATAATCCGATGAATATTTGTCAACTGTCGGATTCTCATTTTTTCCCCTGGAAGGGAGGGGAGGGGGGGGGGGGAGATGTGAGATAAAAAACTTGGTGTACATAAAAAATATTTTCCAAAAGTTACCAAAGTTAGTTAAGAATTAAGACAGTAAGAAAGTAATTAAGACATTTCCTAGAAAGGAAATTCTATATTATAAAGATTTTTGCTCATATTTATTCATTTATATATTTATATATGTATAGTGACCTATAGCTGGCTTAACGGCTAGTTAGAATTCGCTGATTTTTTTCTTCTTAAAAAATTGAATATTTTCTTCCTAAAAATGTCACGGGCAACGCCGGGCACTTGAGCTAGTTAATGTTAATTTCTCTGTCTCTTAAATATCATGTATGTTTAATGGCTTGCTGTGGAACGTTATATTATGATGCAGGGTGAGACGATTGTACACAATTTCCTTATTCTATGATAACCTGCAACTTTGAACCTGTTTCTTTTTCCCCCTGATCACTTAAAAACCGTAAAAAGATTATATTGAAGGCATGAGACATCATTTAACTCGTCAAATTTAAAGAGTTTCAGGTCGTCTTTACACTCTCCTCCTTTGTGATTGTTGGTAACCCTGTATATCTTGTCTATGAATTGTCTTATCTATGAAATGTCCTGTCAATGAAATGACCAACTATAACATTCTATGGACCTTCCCAACATGGAAGTTTATTCTTTGATAAAATTAAGCCTATCCGGCCGGGGGCAATTTGACCCCCCCCCCACCCAATCGTTTTTTTGCGACATGTCAAAAAGTATTCAAACTAGGAAGCTCAAATTTTTGGTGTTTCTAACTATCACATGCTCCTCACTTAAGAATAAAAACGGTGCTTTTATACCTACAACTTGAGTCCTCAGGCATACTGCCTAAATGCCTTATTTTACCTTTACCAGACTATATCTATATCTAGACCTACTTTCAGTCATTGTATTTCAACATTTTTGAAAGCCTGTAATAAAAGCCAGAAGATTGCACAATTTTTACAAAGAAATTTTACACAGGTTTTTGCACAGACGCCTTTAAAGGGAATTTGCACATATCCAGTTTTTCTTGAATACACATATTCAGGTTTTAAAAATTTTGCAAATGTTTTTGCACATTTGAATTTGTTGGGTGAAGGGCTTTTCAAAAACGTACAATGTCATGCAATTTGCGCAATCTTTTGCTTTATAACTAGATTTCGCAACAAATAGTTGGATTTTTGCGAATTTTCCATTTTTTTGCAGATTAAGGGCAAGGGCTTTTCAAAATTTATCAAATATTATAGATTTGTATCACAATAAGAAAATAGAGGGGAGGGGTCAATTTGACCCCCCCCCCCCAGGCAGCCAGTCAGTAAACCAGGCATCAGGCTAAATAAGGTTAACAGCCCTATGTTTTGTTGAATATACTTTAAAAATCTAGAACATCATTGGTAGCATTGGAATTGTGCATGCATTGGTACTTGGTAGCAATAGCAACCAGGCTAAATTAAGTTAAGGTAATCTTTGGACGTAAATCTTACCTTGCAGAGGATCTATTTTCTCCTTAAATCCGAACTAGGCATCCTGGAAGGATAAGTGGAAAATACAGGAAAAGATATATGCTGGTGGAAATCCCGTAGTTCTCCAACCTGCATCAGATTATCATGTTCTCCTGCATAGTAGTTTATTACCTACAAATATATTGCTTATAAATGTTAGATCTGTCTTAACAAGCTAACTTATTTCTAAAACCTTCCCTATTTTATACTTAATTCAGGAGGTTACCAATTATTATTAATTAAATATTTCCAGACGGAAATTGCAAAAATTCCTAAAAATATCAGCAAATATTATTTTTAGTACATTCAGAAACAGTTGCATAAGGGTTGAATTTTTTTTTATTAAAACAGGTTTCTTTGATCTGTATTTTATTATTTTCTATTAAGTACAATTTTTTCTAAAATATAATAATTTTTTCAGAATAGAATGATTTCAGTCTAAAAAAAGCTTGAGTTTGAAGATAAATTTTTTATTAGATTAATCTTGAATTAAAGAATGGTGAAACCTTGGTGATGTTTTCTCTCCATGCAGATCTTGATAACTTGGAGAACCCAACCCAGGGGGGGAGATGAATCACAGCGGAGCAGGTAAATATTCGGTTTAGAAACCATTTTGCAGAGTTTTTGTTTTTATCACACATTTTTATGTTTGACCATTTAATGCTAAAAATACTTAACTTGAAAGGTATTGAGTCTATGTACAAACAATAATATTCGATATCTTTGCAATTGTGAATTCTGTTATATCAAATACACTGTGATTTAAAGGTCTCGCGCTCTCAAGCAAAAATCGATGAGAATTTTGTCAATTACTAAAAAAATACATGATTTTGATGGTTATTATATCGTTAGAACTGACGAGAGTCAACCCAGACCGAAATATATTTTCAATAAATGTGGAACTAACATCTACTTTTTTACTCTACAGAGGTTTGGTCCATCACGATCACCGAATTTTAAATCATGTAAATGGCTACATAACAGCATTAGTGAGCAAGAGCGGTAAAATCTTAGCTCAATGCGGTGCGACAATCCAATCGACCCTGGTGATGAGACTGTTTATAAGCAGACCGTATGAATCTATTTTAATAATCTATGTTTTTAATTTTAAAGGTCCATCAGGTTGCAAACATTTAAATTTAATATTTTTTCGTAAGGTTTTAAGAAAAAATTATAACAAAACATTATAATGAATCAAAGTGAAATGTTATAAACTAAATTTTCTCTTAAATCCAAATTTAATATTACGGTGTTTATTTTAACGGCATAGCCAAAATTTCAAATATCTTAATTAAGGTGTAGTTGAGAGAGCATCTAAAGAGTTATCAAGACGTTTTTCATCCCTTGCCGCCCGCACTCGACGGGGTTCAACACAGAAACATGAACGCCTCGTAGAGATTCCAGAGACGGATAGGTACAAGAAAAATTTATTACAGACTGCGTTACATAATAGGGAACAATAAAATTTATCATTGAAGCCAACTTGTTAGATCGCATAGACAAAGTTAGTGCCAAAATTTTCAAGAAATATGTGTTCAATTGAAACAAAAGATAAAAGAAGTGTAAGAATTTTTTAGTTTTACACAAGTAAAATAAGAATCACATTAATTTGAATCTAGAGATAGAAATAATAATAATGCGCTATTCTCTGTTTTAGAGAAGGAAAGGCCGAGGCGGACCAATTGAACGGCAATGGTGATTGGGCGGGTGAAAGTGTCCACGCCCCTCTCCAACCCACGCCCAGTATGGGCATCACACGGGGTGCTGTTATGGACAAGGTTTTTTTATACATCTTAAATTTGGGTAATTATTTGGTGCGGATGAAAATCACAATAGCAACAATAAAAATATGCAAAAATTAAATCCAATAATAATAAAAAATCAAGATTAAAAAAAAGCCAATTTTAGATTTTGATATTTTTGGATGCTGTCCTTTTCGTATTTTAGGATTTTTTTTTACATTTATATTGACATATTACCTAATGGAAGGCAAATAAATAGTTAGGTGCATAAGTAGCACCCCGTAAACATTAAGTAATATTTTGTAAATTCAATATTTGTTTTATTTAAAACTGATTTATTTATTAATGGATAATTCGATTATTTACAATTGTTTAAAGAATGTTCAAATATAAATTTCAATTTATTTCTGGTTGTAAAAAGTTAGATACAGTTAATGTAAAAATATTATAAAATCAGCTGAAGATGTGACTTACTTGACGTCTTGAGACATGTTGATAAGAACAGGGTCGGGGGGAGACTGAATATTTAAAGTTCTTGATTATTTATTAAAAAGTTTAATTTGTACTTGAGAAAAATTATCAATAATGATTAATCAGGTGACCAACATTTTCTCTAACTGCGACAATACAATCATGGGTAACTCTAGTACGAAAGACAAGGACAAGGATATCAACGGAATTAATATTCCAAAGGTAAAAGCCTATTTGTAAATTTGGACCGAAGCTTTTAATTCTTTTTTACTTTTTATTCGCTCTTCAATATATCCACGAGCTTTATTTGTTTTGGAAATATGTAATTTGAAATTTATCCAACATAGCTTGACAATGCAACTATCTGACATGTTCACAGATTTGTTCGATTTGAAATGATAGAAATGATAAACTTTTTATTCATCTTTGAGTTCCCTCTACATTCTTGAAATCTTCTGTTCTTAAATTAAACAATGCCCAGCCTTATTCTCTGGTACCAAACCTCTTCTGTTAAATCTTCGTCTCAGTAATCTAATTAGCATACACTTTTCTTAAGAAATTAGTTTATCCCAGCTCTTGATTTTAAAATGACATTTGTTTTTATTTATTTTTTAAATACATTGAGCGTGTCACAAAATAACATTGCAGTGTAAATTCCGGTTCTTTTCAAGGCCCGGGCCGGCTTTTAAGCAGCCAAAGCAAACTCTACAGTGTGGCGGATATGAATGTCGTCATCTGAGTTGTTTCCAGAGAAATCCAAGGGGGCGGATTCGATCAGCTGATTCTAACTTGTGATATTTATTCCAGATATTTCTTTCATCATTTACTATATAGATTTAGATTTTTAATAAAGTTAATCGTTCAGAACTCTTTTTCCGGTTCAGTAGTAGCACGCCAAAACAGTACTTATACTAACTAAATAAGGCAAAATGGGACGGTAAACCAAATGAATCAGCCCTTTCCAGGGAGATTCTGGTATATTAGGTAGTAAGGGGACAATTTTCATTTAACTTTAACAATCAAGGTATCATTTTCTATTTCATCCAGTTCTTAAAAGGGACCGTTCACTTATTTGGGTAATTTGAGGGTAAACTAAATAGCAAATTAGCTATTTATTGGTATTAGTCTTACTTTGGATTATTTGCCAAGTTAGTAAGTAAGAACTACTGAGGTACCCATGTAGCAAATATCGTAGCAATCCCCAAGATCGTGCACCCAGTGGTTTAGCCTTGATAGAATAGTTGAGATCGTGCCCATTGTTTGGCATTGATAGTCTCTGAGATCATGCCCATTGTTTAGCAGCGATAGTTTACGAGATCATGCCCATTGTTTTTTAGCGATAGTTTACGAGATCATGCCCATTGTTTTGCAGCGATAGTTTACGAGATCATGCCCATTGTTTTGCAGCGATAGTTTACGAGATCATGTGCGTGTTTGACATTGCTAGTACAAGATTGTGTCCAGTTTAACATTGAAAGTAAAGTAAGAAGTTGTACCCGGGTCCTGGATTGATACGGGGTTGAGAAACCCTTATGGAGTAGGGCATTTACTACACCCATAGCTTTCTTTAAGTTTATAAAATGCTAATTGAATTTAAAAATTGTTCCCCCAGTACCCAATACGTACTGCAAAGTTGTTTAGGGGGGATACTCTAAATATTTTAAACTATTAAAGGGAGCCGTGGCGAATGGTCGGGCCAAGTTTGAAAACACTAAAATAAGTCCCGAGAAACCAATGAGGTTCTTCAGCAGATCACGTCCCGGAACCCCACTACTTCCTGTAAAAGCGCCAAAGGTAAGATTAATGATATTTTTCAAATAAAAAAAATGTTTACAAATGCATTTGTTTTCAGTGAACGAAAAAGCCTTCCCCAAATGATAAATTAGGTTGAAAAAAAAAATATTTTTGTTCTTAGTTTATTCTAATGATAACTTTTGTATTAAGGTACCTGCCCCCCCTGAGCCGATAACGCCAGGTCCAGTAAAGAAGAAATCAAACTCAAATTGTTCAGAGGAGCTTATTCAGAACAGTCCGAATACCCCAGAGGTAGGTGCAAAGGAACTAAAATATACTAAATTTTATTAATTTTTAGTTTTATTTTCATTATCTACAATATTTTATTATAAAACAAGAAATAATTTACTAGTTAAAAAATTAAAGTTATAAGCAAACTCATATTTTACCATCATATCAATGCTGCAGGCATAAAATGAATAATTTTATACTTTTTTGGGAAAATGAAACGAAAACTTGTTTGACAGCAGTCTATTCTTCTGCTATTACGACTTCGTAAACTACTAAGAAAAATTTAATTTTAAGATTTTTTTTATTTCAGTGCCTGCAATAATGTAAATAATAATTTAATAAAGCTTTTCGCTTTGTATATTTGTATATATGTTAGCTATAGCTGGCCTAACGGCTGGACCGAATTGGTTGACATCTTTTTTAGGGAACCCTTGAGTACATCGGATAAAAAGTCGGTTTTTTTCAAGGGCAACGCCAAGTACTTTAGCTAGTTTATAATAATATCTTTTGAACAGACATTAAGTATAACGAAGTGTCCTTCAAATATGTGTAATCTACTTTTGTGATTTGTGATTTATGACATAAACAATGAACAAAATTATCAGAAAATAACTATTTTTGTTAAATACCTCAACCGTAAAGTAATTGATGATTTATAGAAAGGCAAAATCACTTCTATTTTTCTGATTGACACCCTTACAAGAAATAGAACCAAAAATCTCCATGACAGTTTCTAACAAATAACTATCATTCAAATCAAATAATAATCATTCAAATCAAATAATAATCATTCAAATCAAATAATAATCATTCAAATCAAATAATAATCATTCAAATCAAATATCCGAACAATAAAAACATTATTATTTAATGATTTGTTTAGAAAGTGTCCTGTGAATCAGTTACCAGAAGCATCCAGAAATCTAAATGTTGGGTTGAGTGGGAAGAAATGTGGAAGGAACCAAGATTCCTCAGTATTTTTTTCGCTCATTTTTCGGTATCGGAAAGAACTATCTTGGCCCAGGTATAAACCATCATTAGAAAATATTATTTGTAATCACAGTTTGCGTTTATTATATTTGAATTAAATATAATTTTTAAAATTTTTAAAATTTTTTTATTAAGGCCTATAACTGTCATCAGACTTTATTTTGAAGAAAAGAAAACTCAAATTTAGATTGATTTAAGTATTATGTTTCGAATTAACGTTTGTTGTATTTATAAATCAGATCTCCAATTCTTTTTTCCTCAGTTATCGTGAGAAACAGTAGAACTTAATTTTACTGATTACAACAGGAAAGATGAGAAAGGTCAAATGTCTTAATTCTGTTCATTACTAAGCTAAGAGGGTTCATGAGAAAAAAATATAAGTTAAGCGACGGATGGTGAAAACGTAAAAACGTACGATTTTTTTCAGAAATATTATCTTTAAAATAATTTTGAAGAAAGAGAACTTGTTAGTAAGTGGATAATTTTAATCCTTATAATTGAATAGAAATTACCAACATCTACTCAGTACTCTTACTTTATCAACTTTTCTATTTGATTTTAATTTTAATTTTGGATTAAAATATAAAGTGAGTATGAAATCTAAAAAAAACATTTCAAGACTTTAAGTAACTTTTCATAGTATTACCTTAAGAGTTGATTTTTAAATAATTTTAGGTTTGTAAAAAATGGCGTGAGGTTATTTACCAGCCACCATTTTGGAAACATGTGCGGCCTGTGCTTCATTGCCGCGAGTTGCGCACTTGGAACGTTACAGAGGAATGGATAGAGGCAAAGAAAAGCTTCTATCTATCCATCAAACTACGGGGTTGCGACAATATTTGTCTTCTACACGCCAGTGACAGTGATGTGTTTGATTTTATCCAGAATTATCCGCATGGTGCGAAGAACATTAGCACCCTGTGTCTCCGCTGTTGCAACCTAACAGATCGAGGATTGGAAGCCCTGCTTGAGTTTCTTCAAGGGCTTTACTCCCTGGAGATCAATGGGTGCAACGAAATCACAGAACAGGGCCTTTGGTCCTCCCTTCAGCCGAGGCTAGTCTCCCTAACTGTAACGGACTGCATAAACGTGGCTGATGAATGTATATGCGCCATCACACAACTGTTACCTGCTCTTTATGAATTTAACCTACAGGTAGAGTTGTTAAACTGACTATTTACACATGTAGGCTGTCTGATCTTTTGTTTCGACAGATTAGCTGTCCGATAAAGATGTCTGTCCATTTATCTTTTTGAAGAAAAATAACAAAACAAAACATATTTGGATTATGACCCCCCCTCCCCTCTAGCAAACAAACCCACACACACTAGGCAAAGTAAAGATATTTTGGTGTCAAGAACTGACTAAATAGGAAAATTATCTTCCTGAAACTGTGCAGCATAATATTCTCTGGAATATTAGTTCTAAATACCTTTATATTCTCTTCTCAACTAAACTAGGTAGAATTATTCTCCTATAAGTCACATCAAACCAAAGTAAATTGCAAAAAATATTAAAACTTTCATGGTTTTGATCATAACTCCGCTTGTTGAAACACAGAAATATTTTGAATTTCCAATACGTAACCAGATAAAAGCAAAACCACAGAAGTTACAGTAATGTCGCATAAATTTCATCTTTTTTTGTAGCTTATGTAGTGTAAAGATTAAAAAACTATAAATAATTAAATGCATAAACATTTGCGGGAAATATAAAATCTAGAGATGGGCTCATTCTTTTTTTCGTTCGTTTTTAAATAACGATAGTTTTTTCACTTCTCGCCCATCGTTAGTTTTTTCTGAAAAATTTCGTTCGTTAATTAAACTATCCCCATTTTCTAATACCATGATTCATCGCAGTTTTCCTCAATTTGTCTGAGTGAATGCATCTAAGTTTAAGTTTAAGTTTAAATAGAAAACTTTAATCTAATCTTCACTGACTCTGAGACTGAGAGTTTTATCCTATATCCACCAGAATGGGTCAAAATCTATCTCCTTATTTTTTTTGGAAAGGATTAGTATAAATTGTTTGTTTTTTTAATACTATAGGGCCTTGCAAAAAGTTGCCATCAAAAGATTTTAAAAACAAACTTGGCGCTGTAGAGGTGACACTTTTTTAATTTTGAGTTCGAACGCAATTTCAAAAACTAAAGAAAAAGGTAGAAAGCACCCCTCCCTATATTTACAATATGTTATGACATTAAAAAAATTTGATTTTGTTTGAGAACTAATTGATTTTTGTTGGGGAAAATATCAATATTCTGTTTCAGTATGAAATTGGTATCTTAAATTTTTATTTGTTCAAGAATTGTTTAAGGAGCACCCAATCAAACTAAAGCATTTTTGACCAATACCTGCTCTCTTATGAAGATTAAGGGATTCGTATTCCTTTATATATATAGAATTGTTTCTGTTGAAGAAACTTTTTTCCATACAATTGAATTATTAAAATATGCAAATCCTTGACCTATTCCCCTCTCTTCGGCAGGGTGTTTTTAAAATTTAAATTCAAACTCAAAATGAAACAAGGTAGTAGCCTTCCTGAACATGCTTTTCTTTGTTTATTATTTCTAGTACAGTGGCAATATCATTAGTATAATGAAGACGATTTTTTATTGGTGAAGAGATTTTTTTGAATTACAAGTTTACAAGTAATTAAAGAGAAGCTTTTTTTAGTTGAAAGATTCTCTTGGTTTCCATTTTTGTGTGTATCCAGCTGTTTAAATGTTTGATATAAATCATAATTAAAATCTGAAGTCGTTCTCATTATATTGATATAATCGCCTACATATATAAACATACTTACCAAAATCTATTTAGGCGTATCATGTTACGGACTCCGCCCTCTCATACTTCTCCCCCAAACAAAGCTCTACTTTGAACGTGATGAGGTTACAGTCCTGCTGGGAAATAACAAATCATGGTCTGGTTAACATAGGTAAGAAATAAAATATACCAAGCTCATGTCAACTTAGTCACTTTTAAAACCAGAATTATTTATAAGATTTGAGTTTTCACTAATGACGAGTCACAAAAAAACCTTCTTTTAATGTTCACTAAAAAACTGGCCCGTTTATAATCTGTATACACCTGCTTATATGTAACAAGTCAAAAGACTTATCTTCGATATCAGGTTTTTTAGTTTATACTTCAGAAAGGAACTGAGTTCTTGTCAATTATTATAATCCCTTTATCTTTACAACCTGATAGTTTAAACCTTTGTTGTAGAAATATTAAAGGTCTAAGACATCGGGTTGCAAAGATAAACTCATTTCCTTTTAAGTTGAAATGAACATCTATTAGTCTTTGCTGCCGTATTCATCAGTCATCCCTTACATTGATAAATGAGAGACGTTTTGAAAAGTTTTAATTGGCAGAATTATTGTTACAATTTTGAAATTAAAACATAACCTTACGTTCTAATATGAAAAACATTTTCATCAAACTTATATCAAACGTTATACTAATTAATTTAGTATTCAAAGAAAAGTTATGATACGTTTTGATTTACAGAATCACATCTTTTTGACTATACGTTACACTATTGAAATTTATACTTTGTATAAAAACTTTAATTACCTGATTATTTAATTAATAAACCATTTATGAAACTTTAAACTTTTTATTAAAATATTTCAAAACGTTTTCATGAACAGAAATGCATTATTTAGTTCTAATGCAACGTTACACTTTTTAAAATTGAACTTTGAAATAGAAATCCTTTCGTTACGATATGCAACCAAAACACAATTGATTTTTCGAACGTTATAGACCTTCAAGCTCCCCATTAAAACAAAACGTTTCTTTATGTTATGGTCAAAAACATTGCAAATATTAAAAAAATGATGTTACCTTACCATAAATATATCCAAATGTTACATATAACTGTAACGTAACATACAAAAACGTACATTTTACGTTACATTACATTATTGTTGACATCTCTACTACGTGTATTAACATGAGAAGGAATTAAATCAAAGTTTTAAAAAGTATGGAAAAGTAAACTTTTTATGAAATAAACGGAAAGATGTTAGAAAGTTTAATTACATGAGATTCTCAAAATGGAGGTTTCTATCTATTCTTGATATCTATCTAATTATTTAACTGTGCCCCCCCCCCCCCCATCCACAGAGCCCCTTACTCTCCTCTCTTTCATATTTAATTAATATCATATGGGAGAGTAGGATTGAAGCATATTTTTGTGGAACCACGTTGGAATTCTAATATAACGACAAAAGTATATTTGACGTAACAATTTTTCAAAACACACGTTTTTCAATCTAGACCTAGGAATTACAAATTTAGTTAACATTTTTCTCTTCTTAAAATTGTTTGCTTTCTAAAATTATAAGACCGCTGTGCCACTGAAACCAAAATATAAATTCAATTATCAGAATTATTATTATTCAGTTCATTCCCTACCTAACCTTACTGTGCTATCTCTGTCGGGGTGTTCTAAGGTAACAGATGACGGGATAGAGCTGATAGCAGAGAACCTGCGCAAGGTAATGAAACTGATCAAAATTCTATTTTCGCTGATTTTTTATTATAAAATTGTATTGTTTTACGGTCAATTTAAAGAAGATTACCACTTTTCTACAGTTTTCATCCATTTTTATATTTAGATCATTTTTTCACTTAAATATTTCAATTGATCATGTCGTAAATTCTCTAATATTTCATTGCACGATGATATTGGATTCGGAGACTTCTCATCATCTCTTAACAACATTATATTAATTTATAAAAAAGGATTAGGTGTTATCTAACAAATATGTAAAATATTCGCGATTTACAAATATATAATTTCAAGTTAAGGAACTAATTAGGTGTTATCTAACAAATATGTAAAATATTCGCGATTTACAAATATATAATTTCAAGTTAAGGAACTTATTACTCACCTACAAAACTGATTTTCTAAGTCTCATTTCTTTGTTACCCGATGTCATTTACTTTTGATTTATATTCTGCTTAATCAAATAGTAAAAGTTTGAAATATTATTGGTAACACTATTATATTACAAATATATCAGGAAAGAAAAATTAAAGTCTGGAACGAGTATCATTTCTTTTGTAAAGGACTTAAAATGGAAAATTGATCAAAATTGCTTTAAGAAATTACATAAAGTAAAATGAATTAACCAACAAATGAAATATATTATAAAAAAAATAATCAACTAATTGACTAGCTTGTATCTCTGGATTTGTCTTGGTGTCCCCGTGTCACTGATGCAGCCCTTGAATATATCGCCTGCGATCTGACGCATCTTGAGGAACTGACGCTAGACAGGTGGGGCTATTTCAATAATTTACGATTTTTAATGTTTCGAATCTTTAATGTTAAGTGCAGATTCAGGTTAAACTGGTTATTTAAAACAACCCGTCCAAAAAAACAACTTTAAATGGTTAAAGGGGAAATTTTTCCTTGGTTCATGGGTTCTGCAACCAAAATTGCTGTTTCATGCGTAACGTTTTAAAGCTCTTTTATAGTAGTTTTTTTTTTTCAAAGACAACGAGATACCTTAAACCAGATTTAATAAATAGTGAGAGGTAGATTAATTTACAGTAGAAGTAATTAAACCACTTCTCTCGTGCGCCGGTTCAAGATTGTGAGAAGTGGATTAACCATGTCTAATCAGATCAACTTGTTCTCGCTGTTCATCTCATGGATTTTATTCTCTCTTCACGAGAGGACTTGAATCTTGCTTGCTTGAATCTTGAATTTTGCTTATTTATTTCTTGTGACATTTTATTGAAAACATTTTTAATCGATGAAACATTTAGAAATCTGTAATTTTTACGTTAAAAACTTGAATATTAATTGCCTGTTCATCAATTTCCCCATACAATATACAAATCAATGCCTTTAAATCTACGTTTACATTATGTGGCCTTCACTCACAGTACCCCCAATTCTCGTTATTTAATCTGTGAATCTTCATTTCTAATTCTCTAGAAGTATAAATACCAACCTTGAAAGGTTTCCTGATATTTCACTGAAGCTAAACCGCAAATGATTAATTTTTCAGAAGTAACATTCGCAAATATTTCTATAAATAGTTTAAAGGATTATGCTTAATAATTATTTTTGAGACCTAAAAAGGAGAAACGTTTGGTCAAGAGACTTTTTGAAACGTTGTGCAGAAACTTATATTTCTTTTTTGACATTCAGGCAGTATGTTTGGTATTTTTTTCATGGAACAATATAAGATAAATTTCATTATGTTATCGTTCGATTTTTTATCTATCTTTTGATCCATAACACTTCTCACAGACAACATTAATGAAAAATAAACATGCAACGTTTTAGAAACACACTGTTTATTTTTAAAAATGTGTAAAAATTCAGAGTATGATTATTAGAAGTTACAATGCATCGACATAGAACGGATCAACATCTAGAAATTATAAAAGTTTTCAGCCCAAAACGAAATATTTGATTAAACCTCCTCCTTTCCAAAATAAGATCCGCAAAGAACGAAAATAATGACCTGCAAGGACGATTAATCAAAACAGTAAACTCTATTTTAACTTTGAAGTCTTACCGTTAATTTAGTTCTCTTTCTATATAGTTTTTCTGTACAATTTTATTTATTTCTGTATACTAGCATATTTATTCTGTTTTCTTTAAATGCTTTTGAGATCAACAATAAGATTTTTAAAATGTGAAACATGTTCTATTCACAAAGTTCTCTGCAAATAAAATAATGCGCCATTCTTGAGTAAACAGAAATTTAAAGGCTACAGTTATGAATCTGAAATGCTATTCGTCCACTATTCGATCACTTGAAATGATGTATGCATCATTGTAAAAAGTTCGAGGCTACAAGTTCCTGAAATGTCACAATCAGGGGTTCGAAGTTCGAACTATAAAAATCAGAACTATTATAAGAGTGCGCCAACTTTTCAAAAATGTAAATAGTACTTTTAGCTTTTGTGTCATCCTTCCTCTATCGACCTTTAAAAAGCTCTGTAACTTACAGTTTGGGAAAATAATTTTTAATTAGTTCTCCTTAATATTTGCAAGGTTTTAAGATTATATTTAAGAAAAACAATTTTAAGGAAATCAATTGCAAATTAAAATTGACACGTTTATTTTAATTGTGCTCATTGCAGTATACAATAAACAATACATATCTTATTCCTAATACATTTAATGTTCATGTTTTACTTTAGGTGTGTTCATATAAGTGATATTGGGGTAGGATATATATCCACTATGCTGGCTCTTCATTCACTTTTTCTCAGGTATTTCATGGCAATGTCAAATTTATGATCACGGTAAAGGTGATTGGCAAGGTCACAGTCAAGGTCATTGTAAAGATTAAAGTCATGGTCACAGTCAAGTCAGCGGTCAAGGTCACTTTCAAAGCCATGATCACGGTCAAGGTTTAGTTCAATGTCAAGGTCATTGGTCCAAAATAAGGGCATATTTTAGAACAAAGTCAAGATCAAGGTAACGGTCCAAGTTAAAGCTAACAAGATATGTTTTATGTTTTATTATGTTTTTATTTGTAAAGTCGCAACATAGATGAAAGTAACATATTAGTTTTTAATTTAGAATTTACTTGACCTTAAACCTTAGGATTATGTTAAAATCAATGAATCAAAAATGAAAATCTAGATGTCTTTACTTTTCATTCCCTTACTAGTTATTAAGAATCTATTTGTGCAGCAAAGCGAAATTGCCTTTCAATAATTCTTTTATGCTTGGAGGAATAGTACTATTATCTTTAAAAGTGAAGTTTTATGATGATATATCACAATAGCGATTTATCATACATAAAAAAACTTCACCTTTAAAGATAATGAGATCTAAAAGGATGCAAATGTCTTTAAAAGCTCAATGGATAAAGCATTCAAATCTTCATTTTTTTAAAGCCTCCCATAGCGAATTTGAGAAAACAACCCCTACAAGTTGGAGAATGAGTACATCGCCTATTTATATGCATAAATTCAATTTGTCTCTATACCGGCAAGGTTACATTATGCTTTAGAATAGTTGTTAAAATCATTACTTTATTTTCAAAAAAGAGGGAGGACATTCTCCCCCCCCCTCTAGTTACAGGCCTGCTCAAATGTTGAGTTTAAATATATTTTTTACATTTGTCTCTTAACAATGTAAATAGATATATATTCATGTTGAAACATTCATTAAAAATAAACAATTTTTTTAAAATTCTTAAGAGATACTTTTCTCTTAAAATTTAGGAAGATTATGTTCCTAAAATATTTTATTTCATTTTAAAACTTTTTTATTTTGTTGGTATCCTCACATTGCTTGATAAGAACAAACTCTTATTTATTCTAACAACAAACTTCTTCTAGATGGTGTACCCAGATCAGGGACTTTGGGCTACAACATGTTTGTGGAATGCGAAATATTCATGTACTATCTGTGGCAGGTATAGTAAATATTCATGTACTATCTGTGGCAGGTTTAGTAAATAAATCGAATTCAAATCTGTTGGTTTTAATGAGAAATTGAGTTTTAGCCACAAATGTAAATTCTTCGTAATCGTTAATTAGATAATGTTTTTTCGAATAAACATTTTTAATTGTTTTACAAAAAAAAATCCTGGTGTTTTTGAGAATAAAGAATTGCTATTAATTACTAATTTTGTTTTGTCGCTCAATAAATCATCGTTTGAGTTTATTAAAAGAAAGCGAAACAACTCGACACAAAAACTCTTTTTGAAGATGAACTGAATACTATCTTCATAATTTTACTGCAAACATTTTTCTTTGAATTACCAGCGTAAGTTAAAATTTTCTTTTTTACTAATTGTGCATAACAATACAAAAATAAGATTTAAAAACTTAAATAAAAATGCATATTTTCCTTCTTGTTGAAAAAACCTGTTTTTAGTTTTTCAATTAACATTTTTTGATGAAGTTTTAATTAAAAATCCTGGATATCATGTTTTACCACCATCATAGAGAATTTTTAATATAAAACATAGTTTGTGGAAAATCTAGAAAGATTACTTTAGAATATAAAATTCTATGGAATGGTCCGAAATTTAGCTTTTCTACTTCAAAGGGGCGATTCAGATACTGAAGGTTGAGAGGTTTCGATTTTATTGCGTTTTAATACCTTACAATATGTGAAATCATAAAGCTCTAAAATGTATGGGAATGGGATGAGTAAAAAAGGGGAGCAGTGTTGTCTTACACTACACTACAAAACTGTTTGTAAAGTTATGTTTGGGTTGAAAAATATCCAAATAAAGTTAACAATGCAAATGCATTTTTTGGTGCGAAGAAATCGAATGCAAAACATTTAAGAAAAAAAAATCAAAATCGATTAAATTTTTTTTTCATTTTGAAATCTCATGAAAAAATCTTTGATAAATAGAACACTTTTTTTTTCAAAAATCTATTATAAATAAATAAATTTGAAATTTCGTCGACCGTCCCTTCAAGAAACTTTAAAATACTGAAATCTTACTTTTTTTCAGGATGCGCACAGCTAACATCCAGTGGATTATCAAACCTGCTTCAGTTGCGGCAACTTGAAGAACTTGAACTTACCAATTGTCCTGGCTCAACTAGTGAGCTAGTTTTATATCTGAGAGAAAATCTACCAAATTGTCTTATTGTCGATTAGTAGAGCAATTTACAAATGCCTAGATCCTCAAGTTGTGAAATAACTATTTAGAAACGAGTTAAAACTATATTGAAATCTCAAATTTCTGGTGTAAATAAACTGCAAAGCTAAGGCTCTGGAGAAACTCAATTTTGTTAAAAATGTAATTTAAAACGATACACGATTCTTGCCTGTTGGCGTAGAATCAATAATAGATGTTTGTACAGTGTAGAAAAAAATATCAATTACTTTACTCAAACAATTAGTAATAAGTCTTTTCAAAAATATAAAAATACATTTTCCTAATTTAGAACTCATCAATATTCACAAGGACTGACTAATCTTGTTAAATGTAACCAAATTTAAAGGGGTTTCTTTAGTTTTGATTTTTTAAAAGACACAGCATACACATAGGTTTACCACGTATGTATTAAGACACAGCATACACACAGGTTCACCACGTATGTGTTAAGATACAGCATACACACAGGTTTACCACGTATGTGTTAAGACACAGCATACACATAGGTGCACCACGTATGTGTTAAGACACAGCATACAAACAGGTATACCACGTATATGTGTTAAAACACAGCATACGCACAGGTGTACCACGTATATGTGTTAAGACACAGCATACACCCCGGTGTACCACGTATATGTGTTAAGACACAGCATACACCCCGGTGTACCACGTATATGTGTTAAGACACAGCATACACACAGGTGTACCACGTATATGTGTTAAGACACAGCATACACACAGGTGTACCACGTATATTTGTTAAGACACAGCAAACACACAGGTGTACCATGTATATGTATTAAGACACAGCAAACACACAGGTGTACCACGTATATGTGTTAAGATTCAGCATACACACAGGTGTACCACGTATATGTGTTAAGACGCAGTATACACACAGGTATACCTCGTATATGTGTTAAAACACAGCATACGCACAGGTAGACCACGTATATGTGTTAAAACACAGCATACACACAGATGTACCACGTATATGTGTTAAGACACAGCTAACACCCCGGTGTACCACATACATGCGTTAAGACACAGCATACACACAGGTGCACCACGTATATCTGTTAAGGCACAGCATACACATAGGTGCACCACGTATGTGTTAAGACACAGCATACAAACAGGTATACCACGTATATGTGTTAAAACACAGCATACGCACAGGTGTACCACGTATATGTGTTAAGACACAGCATACACCCCGGTGTACCACGTATATGTGTTAAGACACAGCATACACACAGGTGTACCATGTATATCTGTTAAGACACAGTATACACTCAGATGTACCACGAATATGTGTTAATACACAGCATACACCCCGGTGTACCACGTAAGTGTTAAGATACAGCATACACATGCAGATGTATCACGTCTGTGTTAACTTAATTTAGTAACTTCAATAAATTGGTCAGGTTGTAGAGATTGTATTCTGTGCCGTTGCCGTTAGTTGCCCTTTCTCAAAAAAAATTCTCATACTTGTAGATATAAATATTTTATTTTTGTTAAGCCTGAAGAGAAAAGTCTAACTTTTCTGATGAAGAACGAATGTTTTTGTAATACAGCATTAAAAAGTCTAAAGAAAGAATTTTGAGGAGAGAATGGAAAAATTAAGGTAAGTTTGTAAAACAGCTTAAATTTTAAACTATTATCACAAAATTTTTAATATTTTATTAAAAGGAATATTATTAAAAGAAGTCATTTTGTTTTGGTTTTGTATTTTTTGGTTATTTTTCTTCTCGTTTGTTTACGCTCATTATTGTGATCTTTAAGTTCAACCAATGTTAGATAAATGTTTGCAAATATTTTGTTCTGAAGTCACAGTTTTTATCATAGGGATTTTTTTTCCTTTATCTAAAAATTAAAATAGGTTTATGATTTAGATGGTAACAATTGTTTTTTTGGAAGACTAAAGAAAAATATGTTTAAAGTAATAAAAATATCTTTTAAAAAATATTTAAAAAATTCAAAATTAGATTTCTGATTGAATATTCGATTTCTTTACATATTATCGTGTACTAATCATTTTATTTCTGTAAAACTTATGTTTTAGTGAAAAAAAAAACAAAGACAAACTATTAACAAATTTAGAGACCACGACACATCCTCCACATAATTTTAAAAAAGTTTTTTTCTTATACTGAGTAGGTTTCTCTTTTCCATTTTTCTTCAATAAGGATGACATCTGTAATGTTTTAATATAATTCAGATTATTTCGCAATGTATTATTAATAAAAAGTTCAAGGACAAACATCTTATTTCAGAAAGATGTATTACCTAAAAATAGGAATGTCTGCAAACAACAATTTTTAAAGAAACTAAACAATTGTCTTTCTCTTTTGTTGTGATAAAAATAAGTTTGTATAAACTTAGAATTAATGTTACCTTTATGTTATGTTCTTTTGTAATTGTGATTTTTATTTAGTTAAATCAAGGAAAAATACTTAAATTTGATAAAATTTGAAAAATAAATATCTATTAGAAATGTTTGGAAACCTTACAATGAGAAAAGTAAGATGATACACTTGTTGGGACAAGGTAAAGCTGGGGCCGAAAAAGGTTGTAATGCAAGGAAAGTTACAATCTGGGGGGCAATATGATTTCCGTACGCCTTCAATGAGGGGGGGGGGGTTATGCCTTTGAGGATATTCCCCCATCCCCTAAGGATTATGAAATAAGGAAAAATACTGTCACTAAAAGATTTTTTTCCTAACACAATCCTTGCATTCACTGCCTTACATTCCTCACACCGAGATTTATTTTCACAGCTAAATATACGCAACTCCTATCCCCCATACTCTACACACCTTATTTTTTGTAGTTTATCTGCCCTTGTTTGCTTGTAAATGGCTTACCCATGTTCTACTCATATAGGCTCCAAAAGTCCTAATAGTCTGTTATAATCCTCATTATTCCCTGATATTTTTATTATTAGTATGAAGTTCTTAGGTTCTCATTTTTATTGTAAGCCTAAGTTTATCTTTAAAAGTAACATCATTTATAGTTTTTTAGTGAGAGGATAGATTTTAAAAGACTGACTTTCTTTAAGTTAAAAAAGAGAAATAGTTCGAAGTTCTATTAGACATGATGCACGAAGGGCCAAAGTCAAATTTTGTCATTTTCTATAGATTGGTAAAATTTGATAAAAGATGGTCCATAATCATGATCATGATCGAATAAAGCGAGGGGAGAGATGGACAAAATCGGGGGCACTTCCCCTTATTGCATCACTGGCAGTCAATTGTAGGAAGGATCAGCCAGGAACTGAAGGCGAAAAAGTAAAGAAGCCAAGGGGGTAGTTTTAGCTGGACAGGTGGGGATGGGGATGCGACGAAAGAGAATACATTTATTAGTTTAGATTGGAATTAACTCGAAAAAAGTGTAAAACGGCCATTTCGTTGTACTGTTTCCATATTTGTGCTCTATAACCTTTTGGGCCCTGGAATATCTTTTGATTGAAAAAATAGTTCTTAAGAATCATTTTATCTGCTTTAAATCCTTTCTTTGACAACCTTACATGCTTACGTAGATCTTAAATGTAAATCAAAACCAGAAAATTCCTTCAAAGTCTTTAATGCAATCAATACTCAATCTCTTTTTTTTCTTTTGATCCCTCTAAAAAGGTCAAAAAAGACTTTGGTGGATCAAGTTTTCTTGCTGTGACGAACCATTAGGTAATTACTTTCAGAAGAATTCTCCTTACATCACAACAAAGATTAGCAAAACTTATTGATCACACCTCGTTCAAAGAAAACTTGTCAGGAAAGTCAATACAGGATCAAATTTTGAGATGTTTACCATTTTTTATCAAATCGCCGTAAAATAGTTCTCAAAAGACAAAATAGAAGTTTATCTCATGAAAATAATATTTATTCAAAAAAGTTTTCTTCTGATGATAATGATGTTCTTAAAAAATATTCGATCAAAAATATTGTCAAATATTTTACTTATAATCATTCTTACAAATTATAAAACTTACAAGAGAAAGTTTTAATTTTTTTTTATAAAATCGCCAACCAAATCGTCGTATAATAGTTCTCAAAAGATAAAAAAACGATTTTTCAGTGAAGTAATGAAAAAATCAAACATTTTAAACAAGGTCATCAAGAAAAAAATTCGATTACATAAAATTATTCTAACAAATTTTTAAACTTACAAAATAAAAATGATTTTCTACGAAATTTCCTGACAAATTATAAGTTTTCTTTGTAAAAAAGAGTCTGAGAAACCAATTCACCGTTAAAAGATAAAAATACAATTTTCTACAGAAATAATGAGAAATTCCTTACAAGAAAAATTTTAATTAAAAAAAGATAATGACGTTCTAAATAAAAATTCAATAAAAAATCTTATGTCAAGTTCTTAACTTTAAATGAAGGGGTCACACCACACATTAGTCTAAAAATATCATCAAATACTTTCTAAAATGATGTTCTTTCTTTAAATTATATCATCAGTTTTAAAAAAATGCCATAAACTATTTTCTGAAAAATACGTGATATTTCTATCAAAAAAGTGATCTTTTTTAAACTAAAAATGCTGACATTTAAAAAAATATTTGGTTAAATTTTTTAAAAGAAGGGTATAGTGAATTAAAATTTTAAACTTAAATTCTTTAATATAAAGACGTTCATGAGAAAACCAGGTTTTAAAATACTCTTTTAACTCTTTGGTTCAGTTTATGACAATAATGGAGAAGTTCTTTATTTTTCATTTCAGAAACGACAAAATGGCATTTTTTTAAGAATTCAAGATCAGTTGCCAAAACTAAATCTTTACATTTATTTCTTCAGAAATACATAAATAAACTACAAAATGAGGTCTACCGTTTTTGCATCTTCTAAACGGACAGAAACATTGAAAACTCTATCCACATTTCTATTTATCAAATAACAAAAATATTGCTTAAATGTTTGATACACTTGTCAATTTTATAGATACAAAAAATTATCTATTGTTCTTCAGAATTCATAATTTATTTCAAAAAGTAATAGTTGTTAAAACGTATTTTTATCTTAAAATATTTATTATTTAAATCTTTATCTATTATTAAAAACAGTATTATTAAACTAGGTTAACATAAATTGTTTTACAAAAAACTGCATTCAAGAGATTTTAAAAAATATTTTTTTTTCAGGTTGTAGGATGTGTATTTGCCATAAAAACTGTATTCTATTTAAAGAGCATTAACTTAATCTTAAAATACTATGTACAAAATATAAAAAAGTTGCCCCCCCCCCCCTTATAAAAAGAATATGTTTTTGTTTCTTCAAAGGTTTTGTTGTACTAGCAGTGTACTGTACCATAATACGAGTACAGTAGTGTATAATGAAATACAGTATGTACACTATTACATCCGAATATTAAGTGTACAGTACTGTATTTCATATCCAGTACTGTATTAATTTATTTCGATGAATGGTGCGTTAAAAAAACAGCACTGAATAATGCACGCAATCATAGAAAATAGAATATATATTAGAGAGGAATTTAAAGAATGTCTCGGTATGAATTTTTCAGTCCCTTTCAGCCTGAAAGCGAGTTCAAAGTGTACAAATCATGTAAATGTTCACAAATTATATGCAGTAAAGTACATGAATACAGAATGTTCCCTAGACTATTCATTTCAATTTCGAATTTTTTAAACTGTTAAATGAAATTTATAATGAATTAGGTGAATAAAAACATCATTTGATTTATAGTTATAACGGAAAATCATCGTTTGTAAAGTGGAAGGCATAGAGTCTATGTGAAATGATCATTGGTCAATTATGAAACCAGCCTATTTCATAATTTGGTTTTCTTTTAACATTAATTTTAGGTTTTCTATAAAATGATATTCCAGGGCCCAAAAGGTTATATAGCATAAATATGTGAAGTACACCTGCAGTATGGAAACAATACAACAAAATGGCCGTTTTACACTTTTTTCTAGTAAATTCCCCTCTAATATATATTCTATTCTCTATGCACGTAATGCATCCAGTTTATAATGCGTACTCCCTCCCAGATGAACTTGCTGGTGGAGGGTGAAGTTCAGTAGGCCCATAGTCCGCCTGGGAAGAGTACTCGTCTCTTGAGATGTATTGAGACTCATGCGGGGGATAATCGGTCATACCAGGATAGTCCTGTTCCCGATGGTATTCGTCCGGTGTATACTGGTCCATAGTCTGCAGGTTATAGTCCACAGTTCCATCTTCCATCACGACAAAATTGTCCTCCTAGCATTTTATCATCATATTATAGTATATTTACCAAACAAACAGGGTTAACAAGAAAACAGGAGAAATAAAATAAAGGTTATTTTTTTGAAATCCGAAAAATAAACAATTGATTAAACTGTTCATACTAAATGTTTCTTCTATACTATGTTTGTTTGAAACTCAAAAAATGCATCGTAAAATAGGCTTTTTTAGAAGATACAAAAGTTTATTTACTATTTACCTGGTCTAAGTAGGAACTTACAGTTCTGTCAGGTAATGTCGTCATCCTCACTCCACATCTAAATATGTTTTAAACATTTTTAGGTTTTTACTCTCCACTCATTGTATCGGGACTAATACTTTTTACGAGAGTGTTAGAGTCATATATGAGTCATGTCCCGTAAAAAAATAATTAATTTTCTTTCTTTCTCGTCTTGTAATTTGTAAATCATGTCCAATCAAGCACAATTTACTCTACTAGACATTCAAGGCGCTTCGCGCCCTTCTTTCTATGGCTTTTAGGGCGCTTCGCGCCCATCTTCTATTTAAATTGTGAACATGTTCTTTTTGTTTACATTTAAAAACAAAGAAGAAAAATTTTTTTCAAGAATTCAATTTTTTTACAAAATTAAAAACCTTTCAGACACATTTTTTTAAATTTTTATCATTCATAAACCTTCCCTGTGGTCACGTGATGTCCCACAAAAAATTTGGGCCCGATCGGTTCAGCTGGTTTGACGTTTATAGGATACAAACAGACACCCACCCAGACAGACGAGCCAAGTTTATATATAGATTCCATAAACGTGAGACAGACGCATGGATCGTAAAAAGACGACAATTCAGAAATTTTGATCGAATGTAGTTGTAAAGTAAATAGTTAGTTAATGCGAAATTTGTTTGTGCTTACTATAGACTATTTAAAATCAGAACCTCTTTCCACTCCGAGTATTTACGGGCCCCCCTATATAATACAAACAAAGGAACTGATTACTTACCTCAAACTTTTATTATCTAATAATTACATTTTTGCAACTTGCTGTCGTAGATATTTGAATTATACTAGACTTCCATGTATATAAGCAACGTTTGAAATGTTTACATCATTAAGTTGAAAATATTTAACTAGATCGAAAATGAATGACTAATCAGTTTCTTAACATACAGTCTCTAAATTAAAAGAACCAACCTTTTTGCAAGCTTGATAACGAAGACCGCTGATATGACCGTCAAAGAGGATATTAGGCCTATCCAAGGCCACATAACAAACATACTAGAGATTAAATCTTCAAAATTGATAAAGACTATGATTTATTATCCTTAACAAAACTTTGGGTTTTTAGTTGTTTACCTGGCTGTTTAGATATCTAGTGGGGTCTGATCTTTAGGTGGAAGTACAAAGACCGGAAGTAAAAACCGATTTCCGCTATACCTGCTGTACCAGTACTTCCTGCACATTACAAGAAAGTTTAGAAAGTTGCAATTGAAAAAGCTGGGCTTAATGTTTACTTCTTATGCCGTTTTTGGGTAATTTTACAAAGGAATTGATATCTAAAAATGTCATTATTCAATGTGTCAGCCCCTGATAACATAGCAAAAAAACTTTCATGTAATGATGTAATATCCTTAGACATGGAAATATCGATTTATCTTCCTGGCCAAAAGTTCTGGCGGAATTTTTACTTTTCATGTGATTTTCATTCATTTTTCATGCCTACAGCCTAACCCAATCTGCCCAGGCCTAGTGGCTAACCACAGATCTAACACAACCTGCCCAGGCCTAGTAGCTAACCACAGTTCTAAGCCAACCTGCCCAGGCCTAGTGGCTAACCAAAGTTCTTACCCAACCTGCCCAGGCCTAGTAGCTAACCACAGTTCTAACCCAACCTGCCCAGGCATATTGGCTAACCACAGTTCTAACCCAACCTGCCCAGGCCTATTAGCTAACCACAGTTCTAACCCAACCTGCCCAGGCCTATTGGCTAACTACAGTTCTAACACAACCTGCCCAGGCCTAGTGGCTAACCACAGTTCTAACCCAACAAGCCCAGGCCTAGTAGCTAACCACAGTTCTAACCCAACCTGCCCAGGCCTAGTGGCTAACCACAGTTCTAACCCAACCTGCCCAGGCCTAGTGGCTAACCACAGTTCTAAGCCAACCTGCCCAGGCCTAGTGGCTAACCACAGTTCTAACCCAACCTGCCCAGGCCTAGTGGCTAACCACAGTTATTTTTAAAATCAAAAACACTTGGGAAATAACAACCTCTAACGTTGAAACGATTAATCCGAGGGATACTTTTCACCTATGTTACCTCGTAGCTTTTGTTTTTCTCATTTACTCATCTATGAGGGAGCGGTGGCTGCTCTCAGGGTTTTGGATATGCTTTCAGGGGTTTGGAGTGCTCCCAGGATTTTTGAGTAGCCCCCATGGTTCAGGGATAAAACGTAAAAATTCATCCCAAATAAATATGAAAAATCCTTTTAAAAGGGTACTTTGAAACCGAAAATTGAAAAAAGGGCTCTGCTACGCCCCTTCAAATTTTACCTTTGTTCAGATATTTGCAGGGAAAAAAATAGAAAATTTCAGTCCGAGTAGTCTTTGGCGATCATATAGTTTTTTTTGGCCAAACTGACGACATTTGTTTTAGCTTTTACATTAAACATTGTTGGTAAATGAAAAGAAACCTTTTTTTTTAGCTAGATTCATAACAGTTTCATTTGAGCTGGTCTAATACATCTCAGCATCTTTAGAAGCTATCTTATTGCCAATTTTTTTTCAGAATAAATCCTAAGATCAACTCTAAAACCCTAAGGGCAGCCACCCCTCTCTACTTCAATAAGAGGAGTTCCAGTGGCGTAAGTAAGGGGGGTTATTAAGGTTACTTACCCCCNAAGGATCAGAAACGTCCCCGTTTAGTAACTCCATGTCCATGATTACCATTAAAAGGAAAAATGTAAAAAAATGTTTGACGCTTCGCGCAGATAATCTTACTCAATCAACTTTAACAAAGTAACATAGATAAATGTTACCCAAAAGGGAGTTTTTTAATACAGCAGCGTACTTGCACTTTATGTCAAATTAAGTATAAAGCTCTTCCGGGGGGGGGGATAAAATGTTAAAAGATCAAGATTATTAAGAATTGAATTTTAAAAAGTAAGACATTTTACTTTTGATATAGTGAAAATAATACCTAGTACATTGACGACAAGAAAATTTTGGAAATTATAAATTAGAATATAAGCAAAGACAATATTTTTTCAAGGTTTTGCAGAGTAGCTTTTCTAAAGATTTAAAAAAGTTACATCTTTTTCCTCTTAGAGTAAAACTATTTTTTATGTTGCTTAAAATAAATTCAGCTTTTTTACAGATCTTTGTAGTTAATGTAAAATGAATGAATATAATGAAGGATACAAAACAAGGTGAAAGCTGAAAGGTAGGAAACGAATTGCCTTTATTTGATGGAGTTTGTAAATGCCAGAAATGAGTGTAAAATACAAATCAAACCAACTAAAACCAATAATTCGATATACATCATGATATTTTCTAGAGGGGGGTAAAAAAATTCTAGGGGGGGTGCTTAACTATGTTTCCCCGGGCGAAAAGTGTGACATTTTTATTTTTGTTACTTCTCATTCAAATCTCAATGTTTTAGTTTGGTAGGGTCACAGAAATTTTAACGTTACGTGAATTATCAAGAAATTGTAAAGAACGCCCTGCCGCGTCTTACATGATTATATTGAGAAATATTTCACATATTTACTACAAAAAATGACAGTTTAGAGAAGGATTGGGTGTCGTCTTTGATCGTTAAATTTATTAGCGTCAATCCTTTGTCCACACAATTTAGCAATTTAATTATTTAAAAAATAATAAAATTCCTCTAGTCCGGGCATTTCCGAAATTTGGTTACTTTTTTCTGATTATTGTTCAAAGAATTATGCGTGCAAAATTAGGTTAATGGAAAACTTCAGAGATCAAAAACTATATTCAAGTTGTCTTTTAACTTTCATGTTACAAAGGGATCAAAGGCAACCTTTAACATATTTGTTAAATATGATGCACTGTTACTATTTGCTTATATCATTGACGCGTCAACTTCAGGATAAAGTGAGTAGTGACCAAAAAGAATATTCAAAATGTAAAAAATTTACTTGTATTTGCAGCCGAGTACAATATTGAAGAGAATAAGAAGTAGAGCTGCTAGGGCTGTTGCGCCAATACCAATATAGAAGTTTCGGTAGTCGGCAAAGATATAAGGCTCCTAAAGAAAAAATGTCAAAGAATAAGAAGTTAAAAAAAGGTTCTGTAAATTCTTTGTTTTGGTTTATTTTTCAATAATTTTGCAATACATTGTTTAACTTTAATTTTTCATGGTTTGAACAAATAATCATTAATTTATGAATTCTAAACCATAATTGTATTCTTTTGATCTGAATTCTGCTATAAATTAATATATTTTGATTATTTATGATTAGAACCATAGAAACCTGATTATATTCTGAATTATAGTTGAAGTTAGGCCCGTCTACAGCTGATTGGATTGTTAAATTCCAGGTGCTTAGCTGATTACCCATATCATCCCTGAAATCAAGTGAAAATTAGAACATTTTCAAATGCTCCTGTTTTAATGAAAAGATTGCGATCAAGAACTTCTAAAATCTAAGTAATATCTATGACAAAAAAATTTAAGAAGTTCTATGAAGATTTAAACTTCTAACGGAAAGAGAGACATTCACCAAGAGACACAATTGAATTATTCCTAAACATTAACAATGATCTACCTGTATATAAACCAGTGGATTCCCCTTTACTACGCGATACCAGCCTGGTAAACCTAGTAAACAGCTAGAAATAGGTTGGGTTGGGCGGGATTACACGGTCCAGGCAGGGAGGTAGGTATGCAGGTATAAGGCAGGTAGGCAGGTATAATGTAGGTATAAGGCAAGGTAGGCAGGTAGGATAGTAGGTTTCATAGATTGAAGGTGGATAGATAGATTGATCGATATGGATGGAGTGAGTGCAATGATTTTATTCCAATTCGTGAGAGACTGAGAGAGAAACACAGATAGATAGAGAGTAAAAAGACAGAGAGAAAGAAAGACAACAAACAGATAGACAAAGAGATAGAGAGAGACAAAAAGAGAAAGAAAGAGAACTGACCTCCCCTCCCCCCTCGAACAAAGAGAGAGAGAGACAGAGATAGAGAGCTGAAACCTTCCTCCCTATAGACAAATTCCTGAGAACCCCCTTTTTCGAAAGAACTATTTAAAGCAAAAATTGGTAATTTTTATTACAGTGTAACACCTTTTTATTAATACAGCTAGGATATTTATAGTTTCAAAACGCGATTTGGCCCATTTCGTATACTCAGTAATAGAAATCGGACATAAAACAGTTCTGGAACTAATTTCTTATGTAATAGAGATATTTGCTGTTGTCCTCCTTCATACATTTTAAAAAAGGCATACAAAACAATCAATATCAGCAGAACGACTTTTTTAATACATATTTACTTATTCTAAATTAAAATACTTCAAGAAGTTAATATAAAAGAAGGAACTAAAGAAATTGTAAAAGTTACAGGGTAATACGGGGTAAAACCAATAATTTAAACCTAAAATTGGATTCGATGTTTCAAGATTTTAGCCGGCGCTCAATCGAAACCGGTTTTTGGCAGATTTGAGACGCGGCTCAAATTCATTGAATTCGTACTCATGGCCTAATAATAATTTTGCAGTAAAAATTGAAAAATAGCCCAATTTGTCGACGTGATTTTGCCTGTCCAACTATCCGTACTCACTTTCAAACCATGGTGGTTATAGAATTAATAGTACATTAACCCATCCAACTAATAATATATCTGTGTCCATGAGTAATCATGTAGATCATGTAGGCGTGAACTGTGAACTCGGAGAAAACTGATCTTTATTTAAATTAACAAAAGTTAATAAAAAGGTTACAATGATGAACTAAATGATCAATTTATTGATTAGATAATCCAATTTTATTTCTTGTATCCAACAGACTCCAGAGCCTCCTTGAGGGTGTCCAAGACCTTGTTGATGGTCTTGATGTTCGCGTTGTTTCCCATTACACCAATCCTCCACACCTAGATAGTGATTAGTGCATGATAATTATGAGTGTAAGATATAAGGTATTATAATCTGTGTGATGGGAGGGCGTATGCGCAAAGTAAGACGATTGTTTAAAACAAAAGATTTATTCCAAAAAGTTTAAACTCAAAAATATTTTCTCAGATAAACTTTTAATTGCATATTTTGTAGGGACTTAGTTACTTAGTTACTTAGTTACTTAGTTACTTAATTATTAAATCTAAAAGTAAACCTTTAAATTTTACATTTTCGCAGATTGTACATGTCGACACTCGACATTTTTTCCAGACAAAATTTTGTAGTACTATTATTTTGAATGTCTTTATGTTGTAAACAAAGCTAAAGATCTACGTAGAGATTTGTATTGATTAAAAATAGTTCAGTATAAATTTCAGGTCGGCAATGATATGCGAATTTTTGTGTAAAAACTAAAAAAGCAAAGTTTATAAAGCCTCGCATGAAAATGTAAAATGAAATTCGGATGATGACGACATTTATATTGTTTTCTAATACTAACTTTTCCAGCAGTAGGCCCCAGACCTCCGGATATTTCCACGAGATGCCTAGATTATTAAATGTGTCAAACAAGACAAAATAAAAGTAAATACACATGAAAATTTAATATATACATATGTATAACTTAAGTTTGATCGAACTGATAGAATTTCATTATGATTTTCTTATTTTCCCATTTAATAATAGATAATATACTAATATAATATTAATCAAATATTTAATATTTACAAAGGGTAATTTTATAAAATGGAATAATTTACTTTTTCATGCAATAGCTTGATACCGCCATCCAATCTACGCCTTCTGGAACCTAAAAGTGGAAAGGTACTTTACTCGATATTAATCTCATTATTACACATGAAAAAATATTTTAACAGTAGTCTTCGTTTATTTTAATACACTGATGATCATTTTTATCTAAGCTTTAATTACTAACCAGCTTTTATTCACATGCGACAAATATACAATACATGTAAACAATCAGAAGCTGTTAAAATAAGTGGAAATATTTTTTTTGTTGAAATATTGTTGTTAAGACATTTTATTTCTTGTAAATATGTTGAATTATGTATATACTTTGCTTATTTGTTTGTAAAAACGGCTTAACCGATCGGACCCATTTTTTTCCCGGGACCTCACATGATCCCAGGGAAGGTTTATGGATGTAAGAATTGAAAAAATATTGCCTTAAAAATGTAGATTTTTCATAATCCACGGAAAAAAAACGATAACAGAGCAACAATTAAAAGTTAAAGATGGGCACTAGTGTTAAATGTACTAAATTATAAAGAAGGGCATTGAGTCTTTGCCACAAACTCTAATTTTGTAATCCCTATATCTTTGCAAATCAATTTCGGAAACCGTAGATATTTCAAACTATGAATCCTGTTAGATCATAAAGTCTAAGTTTGAAATATCAACGGTTTAAAACCATCAGTGTGGCAAACACTCAATTCATTTGCCATAATATTTTTGCCATAATTACACTTGACATAATACTTTTGCCATAAGTAACACTTGCCATAAGTTACACTTGCCATAAGTCACACTTGCCATAAGTTACACTTGCTATAATGGTTACACTTGCCATAATTACAAAATTGCTATAATTACTTTTGTCAAAATTTTCTAATTTCTAAAAAGATATGAATCTGTCTTTTTTATTGTAAATGCGGGAAATTGTCCCATGAAAATTCTCAACTTTACTTTTCTCATTGTTTTAAAACAGAACAGTTGACACAAGTTCAGCTCCATATTTTCTCACAATGGAGGACCCTTTGGTGACCTTTGAGACCACAAGTAAGGGTAAACCAATGGTTCTCGAGACAGCAACAACTACACCTATGTAGCCAATGCCTCGTCTACAGAAGTGAAATGTTGGAAATGTTCGGTCAAAATGTGCTCAGCTAGAATTCGAACTGTCTCAGAGTTAGATTTGTATTTTGTATTTTATTTGTAATTAAAAAAAAAGTATATACATATTTGTGTTTGTTAATTCTAACCAAATTTAACTTTAATTATGGCAGGTGTAATTATAGCAGGTGTAATTATGGCAAGTGTAACCATTATGGCAAGTGTAACTTATGGCAAGTGTAATTTATGGCAAGTGTTACTTATGGCAAATGTATTATGGCCAATGTAATTATGGCAAAAATATTTATGGCAAAAATATTATGGCAAATGAAACTGAGCCATTCCTTTAGGATTATTTTTTGTTGTATTTTAAAAGAATAAATTGTGATTTAGTTGAGGTTTCGTCTTATCATTTTTATCTTAAACAAATCGCGGTCTTCTTGTATGAAAGGTGATACAAGAACATTATTTTATTTAGCAAGGTTTGCAAACTACGGTTTTATGAACCAATACATACCTTGATAGTATTTACAGTTGGAAGTCTGGCTGCTGGGTTGGATACAAAAAGTTCTAGTCCAAGCTTTTCTAATCCTTCGTGGAGAAGATCAGCGCACACCCTGTAGATAAAATTATTTGTTATTTAATCAGCCAATACCTCTTTATAAGTCGACAAGTCAATTTATAATTTGTCAACCATCTAAATTTTTTTTTAAATTATAAAAATTATGTAGTTAAAAAAAGTTTTTTTTTACTTTTTATATAATTATATCGATCTCAATTTTTAAGCAAGCCTAAATGGCAAATGTAACGTAGATTTCGAAAATGAAAAATCTAAAAATCGAGTTTTGATGAGAACCGAAGTACATTAAGAGCTTTATTATGGGACATCCTGTATATATCTTTATGAAACGCCTTATTGCATCTTTTTATTGCATGACAACATGTTTAATAGTATTTCTACCACTATCAAAGAGTTCTATCACTGGAAAAATGATCGGAAATGAAAAGTACTTTAATTTAGATTTAAAGAAGGTCTTAAATTTAATTTTATTCATTTTAAATGAAAATACAAAATGTTGTGTTTTTATCTCTGGAACTCAGGAGCGGATACAGGGGTGATGCATGATCCATGGAACGGCCGCTCAGTGCTCACCCGTGGAAAATTGCTCAAACCTGAAGCTAAATTGATCACCCCTGCGGCTGTAGCTTTAAAGATGAGCTAGGGAAAATAGGGATAAAAAGATGAAAATTCTAAATTCCAAATTTTAAAATAAATTCTATATAGCTTTCTCAAGAGTGTTTAGTAATTTTATATTTAGGTTGAATTTCGCACTTAAGTCAGCGTAAACTATTTAAACAAAGTCCTAAAGCTAAAAAATAGGAGAAGTGATTCAGAAAACTGTTAAACTTTTTGGGTGAAAATAGCATAACAATAATTTAAAACCTTTGCAATTTGAGGTCAGGATCAAGATTATATGCTCACTCTAGGGGTGAGCAAGAAAACAAATGTTGAGCTATGCGTATCCAAAGTTTTGCTCACCCCTAATAAATTCCAGTATCCGCCCCTGCTGGAACGGATCAATGAAAAATGGAAATAAATAAAAAGTTAACTCTACCTATGCCGTCTCCAACAGTTCTCTAGCCCCTCCTCTGCTAGGATGGCTAACCCTTCTCTGAGAGCGTACATTGAGTTGACCGGTCCTGTATGATGGTAAACACGACCTGAACAAAAAGCAAAGAGAAAAGATTAGTTCATTCTAAAACTTATAAATAGAAATTTAAAGCAACGGTCAAATATGCGTGTGTTTGTGTGAAATTCTACGTTTAAATATTAATTACTTTGAGTTGGAAATGATTTAAATTCCAACCTTTTCCAGGCCAGCAATTCCAGTATTCTCCCAGCCAACCCAGATCCAGGTAGAAAGATCGTGGAGCGGTTTTCCGGTTCTAAAAAGAAAATTATTTAACTTCATACTGGGAAGTACCTGGAAATGGTTTCCAGGTCTAAATTCGAAAATGTTTGAACTTTGTGTATTATGAATATGTTTTATGTGTATTATGAATATGTTTTATGTGTATTGTGAATATGTTTTATGTGTATTATGAATATGTTTTATGTGTATTATGAATATGTTTTATGTGTATTATGAATATGTTTTATGTGTATTATGACAGTAAAAGTAGAATATTTATATGAAGTATCAAAATGTGAGTTCAGGTTCTAAAGAAAAAAAATCTTTCCAACAAACTCAAATTTTTTAATACATAAATCTTTGCAACCTGATTCTGTAAAACATTGATATTTCAAACTTAGATTATTTGATCTAACAGAATAGTTTGAAATATCTAAGATCTACGAAATTAGGTTGCAAAGATAAATGGATTAGACAATCAGCGTCTGTGACAAGATATGGTATACGAGACAGCAGATTATCAAGATGAGGATTCCTACTATTATTACTATTCTTAAAATGTAGTAATAATTATACCTGAAAATGTTCTACAGCTCTGGAACTAAAGGAAATTGGTGCAGTACCCGGGGGAACACCTAGAACCTTCTGGCTTCCAGTATAGATAACATCTATCTCAAGTTTATCAGCCTACATTATATAAGATAAAAGCTATTAGGTTTTTCTTAATTCATGTTATGAATTCTTTATTTGATATAAATGCAACAAATAATCCTTCCTTTACCTCTAAAGGAACACCCCCTAGGCTTGCAACTGTGTCAACAGCAAAGAGGCAATTGTTGGCGTGGCACATTGCTCCCACCCCTTCCAGGGGTTGAACAACACCAGTACTACTCTCACCTGACACAAACTTGAGGATTAGCTTGAAAATATTACGTTGAATTAAAATTATTTTTTTTAAATGATTAATTACTGTGTTTTTAATAAAATACTGTTTTTTTGACACAGATAATTTAAATATATACTTGGCTTGTTCGTTAGTTTTTCTTCAATAAACTAACAACACGGTTATAGGAGATCATATCTTAAAAGGTTTTATAAAGAGAAAAACGCTAAAAAAGTTTAGCTTTCTGATTTTAGACATCATTGACACTTTTTAATATTTTTTTCAAATAAACTTTTGAAAGTGTTTAAGCATAACATTTGATGTCTACCACTGTGTAAAACTGGTTAAAACATCCCCCCTGGATGAACTGTGAGAAAAGGACGCCTTAACTGCAACAATAAAGGCTAAACAAGAGGGTTGCGACGCGTTCTGAAATCCTAGTTTAGTTTAAAAGATTACCGTGAGTAACAAAGAGTAGATTAGGCTTATACTTCTTAACTCCCTCTTCTAGCTCACTTTAACAAAATGTAGGATTAAATGACATCAATATTAAAAAGAAGAAAAATTACATCTTTAAAATAAATGACAACAAGAGTAAACAATATATGTACATCTAATACAGAACTATATACAGAGTAAAAAAATATATGTACATCATTCTACAAGACTACATAGTAAGGGCCATGACAAACTCCTGAAATTCAAACTCCCGAAATTCAAACTTCTTAAATTCAAATTTCTAAAAATCAAACTCCCGAAATTCAAACTCCAGAAATTCAAACTCCTGAAATTCAAACTCCTGAAGTTCAAACTCCTAAAAGACAAACTCCTGACAAGAAAACTCCTAACGAGAGAAACTAGAAATTGGTAGTTAAGAAGTTTCAGGAATTTGTCATGTCAGTAGTTTGTCCTGTCAAGAGTATGTCTTTCGGGAGTTTGAATTCAAGGAGTTTGTATTTTAGGAGTTTGTAATGGCGCCCTTGATCAACAATGATCGCAAAATAGCTCTTTATTTCCGCCATGTCCAAGATGTGGTCTGTGTCCAAGATGTGGTCTGTGTCCAAGATGTGGTCTTCCATTTTTTTGCTTTCAAAATTACCAGAGATTAAATAAAACCGTGAAATTGTCTAATTCTGAATGAATTGTCTAGTACGAAGAGAAAAAAATACTAACCTGAGGGTAAAGTTAGATCCTGTTGGAGTGTTTAACTCGTGTACAACAGCACCTTGCCTGTACAATATATTGTCATGTACAAATAGGGATGTTAAAGTTTTCATTTTTTTTTGAAAAACGATCGTTTCGTTATGAAAAAGACGCCAAAAAATCTAAAACGAAACTTTCGTTGTTAAAAACGATCGTTTTTCAAAACGATCGTTTTTTATAAAACTCGTCGTTTCGTTAACGATCGTTGAAGATGACCCATTGTTAATGATCGTTAACAACGACCATTCGTGAACGATCGTTATAGACGACCCTTCGTTAATGATTGTTAACGAAGAGAGGAAACCGACCTGAAAGGCATCTGTAAATATCATTGAGTAGTTTTTAAGAAAATATCAAGAAGTTTTAGCTCCCCCACAACTGTTTAACTTCATGTAAGACGACATTCAATAAAGTTGCATGTAAGTTTTTTTCAAAAAAGATCGTTTTTCAAAAACGACCATATTAATCAAATTTCGTCGTTTTGTTAAGGATCGTTAACGACAACTCTTCGTTAACGATCGTTAATAATATTGTCAATAAAAAATGTTTTTTAAACGGAACAAAAAACTTGATCGTTTAACGATCGTTTTTAAAAGCGATTAACAACCCTATGTACAAATATATCATAATCAATTTCATGCCCAAGAGAAAAAGAGTATTTATTCAAAGCAGGGTCAAACAAATCCAATAAATTTTTTCTCGCGTAGTCTTAGCACCCTAGAGACATTGTGAAATTAATTTCATTGTGATTGGGCCGTAAAATCTAAGCCTCCGAGAGAAAAAAGTGTGAAGTGTTTTTTTAACACTATTTACTTCTTAACTGTATTACCTTTTTGCCATATCTTGGCTACGAATTCCCCAGATCCCGTTATTGGCAATTAAGACGACTTGTCCAGGTTCTAACATATTCGTCATAACACACTCCATTGCAGCATGCCCTGCACATAAATTAATTTTGTAAGACAAGCAAATGCTAAAGAAATTTTAGTTTTAACTATTTATGCCCTACTTCACAATAAATCCTAAAAAAAGAATTAGTAAAATTTGTCAAGTCTGTCTGTGAAATTAATGATCTATAAATATTAAAGGAACTAGACTAAAATGATAGGGGGAATCAACCAATTCTTAAATATTTATTAACCTTTTCGCTCAAAGACTTTAAGTGTAGGACGCAAACTTGGATTCAAGAAATGTGTTGGCTAAATTACATAAGGAAAAACTAAATAGTATTATTATGACCCAAAGCCCGTGTACTTGATACTGGTAAAATGTTTAATAATTTTAATGATGTAGAGCCCTACGATAAGTTGGTTAGGGCTCATATATATATGGTTACTGCATGTTCTGCCAAGTTTTGTAAACAAACAAACCTGTTGCAGACAAGGCAAACGTCATTGGATTTTCAGTTTGAAAAAGATACTGTACTCCACTTTTTATGTCATCCATTATCTAAAACAAAAATATTAATTCAGTAAGCTAGTGTGTCCCACCAATGTGAAAGGTCGTCTTTGATCTTTAATTACTATCTAAGAATAAAATTTTTATCCAAGAAAAGGTTGCACGATTTATAAGCTTTTCATAGTAAAAAATTCAACTTTGATCATTTTTCCTTTTTTAAATACCTGTCCTAATTTACTAATGTCGTACGAAACAAATAAGAATCCGGCGGGGTTTGTTGAATTTTTTATAACCCTCATAAAAAATGTAGTTGTTTTTTCTGCATACGTTAGTTCGAATAAAACTAGGAGACAAGAAAACACTTGTATTTCAACATAGAAAGGTAAATAAAATTGTTATAGAATGAACGTTCCATCTTTTCTTTATCACATGCATATTTAACCATTTAAATTGATTTTCTCGAACTTTAATATGCCATTAATAGTTTTTACATAGGAGCTCAATGTACTTGAACTTTAATATGCCATAAATAGTTTTTACATAGGAGCTCAATGTACTTGAACTTTAATATGCCATTAATAGTTTTTACATGTGAGCTCAATGTAAAAACTATTTATATACTACAATTCAAAAACTTTTCAGCTTCGGTAAACTTCTGCCCTTTTCACCATTTCACTCAGATGCCGCTGTTCTATAGAAATTTATTCCAATAGACCAAATCTACTAGTTTGTCGTTTCATCTTGATAATTATATATTTCTCTTATATCTGACGAAAACAGAGTTAATTTGGCTAAATAATGAAAGAGACTTAATCATTAAAAGAAATAATAAGAAGTTTTAAAAATCCTGACTTTTGGCATGTCAACATCTAGATAAAGCGCCCCAAAAAAAATTTTGCTCAGAAAAGGAAACTTTTTTGTTATACTTTTGCTGTGTTGTTATATATATACCTTAAATGTCAATTATTGAAACTGTGTTAAAAATAATTGAAATTGAAAACATGGCGAACTAACGTTAAAATGAAGAGAAGGAGTAATTGTAACGAAGTAAAGGACAGAGGATTTGCTGTTATAACAGACAACCTCTCCTACTGAGCCACTACACCTGGTTGAGTCTAAACAAGCATTGAGAGTCGGGTTGTGGCAATTATAACATGTAGCTGCTGAGCAGGCTGCCCAGCTGATGATTCTTCATGCCTTTTACCACTAAATTAACTAGTTCTTGTGAGACCACAGTTTTCCAGCCTCAAAAATTGTCCTGATCCTTCGAATTATGAGGGACGCCTAGATTGATTGCCATCATAGCTTGACAATAATGACTTGGGAACAGACTTTATTCTGTAACATCTGAAAAGTGAAATGATAGCTGGAGTTTTCCACACCAGGATGACTTTTCTGCTAAATCAATGTTTTCCATCTGCAAGTTTAAGGTTTTGACAAATTTGAGGTCTTCATTCGGAATATTTTTTAATGCTGCAACTGGGCCTTAATATCATCAAGTAGATCATCTGGAAATTTATTTGCTTCACTGCCTTTGTCCTTTGTTGCAATTTAACGAGTTCTAAATATTGACCAAAATATTCTGAAAACAAACAAAATATAGAAATATGCCTGAATCTGGTGTACTTCAGAGTTGTATAATTTCTATACGGTTTTCTTCTTTTATGAGAAAGTTTGGTTTGTCTCAACGAAAAATTACAGGTTTTAAACCGTCATCTCAGGCAGTTTGGTAAACTTTAGTATCAACGAATTATCGCAAACCTATTTTATAGTCTAACATTTGTAAATATTCTAATTTTTATGTCTTAGCCTTACTTTTATTTTGCACATTATCTTCCAGATCTCCATACACTCACCCTTGTACATTCAATCACGTGGATTTAACCGTTCTTTCAATATTCCAGAAAGCTGTGACTTTCGATCCCAATTTGTCTTTTAAACATAATATTTTAGCCTTTTTTCTTAAATACTTTTTTCCCGGCCTATACACTTTGAAAGAAAAGTATCAAACAAACAAATCCGTAAGTTTGAAGATTGTTTAATTAAAGACTTCAAAACGCGTATGATTTCAAATAGAATTAAGCAACTGAATGCCTCTAAAAATGCATTGTTCAACACGGATAAAGGATTGCCTGGCAATGATGGCAGTTCAGCTGAAGACGCATGTTTTATAGATTTAATACAAATCAGAATTATTATGATGCAAAAAAACAAGTCATTATGGTTTATAATTACTCAGTATGATCGCAAACTTAACTACAGGCAAATTCACTTACCGGAAGAAACATGAACTTTGATTTTCAGCTAAAGGAATTAAGTTTTTGCCACAAACTAAAATTTTCTAATCCCTATATCTTTGCAACCTGATGGGTTGAACCTTAGGTATTTCAAATTTAGATCATTTGATCTACAGAAATGATACTTGGAAATATCTAAGGTTTACGACACTAGATTGAAAAGATAAAGGGATAAGAAAATCGGAGTTTGTGACAAAGACTTAATTCCATTCAATTAATGCATTTGCAGCTCCACTAACCTTCCTAACGGGCACTCCCTTCAATATTTCATTGTGAATTTGAATTATTTATTTTTCCTTCTCCTTTTTTATTAAAGATTTGTCCATGGCACCATGAATATAAATTGTTTGTCAGTTCCATTTATGAATCTGAACAAACCTATCAACTTGTCTAATTAACCACCATATTGTTGATTAATGACTATAAACAAACAAAAATTGGGAACGTCGGAAATATGAAATGAGTTCTTCTAACTTTCAGGCCATATATTTCCGCTCTTTTCAAGTTTTGGGAACTTCAGAACATTAGGCCCTAATGTGGTTCAAAAATAGTGTTTCTTCTGTGATTCTGTTGATTTTGCAATCTGCAGTGACTGCAGGTGGCAGTTATATGGTTGGAAATATTGCAATGAAGTTCGAAAATGTCCTGTACGAACACCCATTTATTGTATGGTATAAAGAAATTAAAAATTAATTTAGCAAAAACTAAAATGTTCTATTTCCTATATCATTGCAACCTGATGGTGTTAACAATTGATTTTTTTAACTAATAGAATTTATATATAAGGTCTGTGAAGGTTGCAAAGATATAGTAGTTAGACAATCAGAGTTTGTGGCAAAGACTGAACATCTAGATTTTTACCCTTAGCACGTTGACAAATTTTTCTCAGTAAAATTAAACAATAAGATGTATTTCTAAAGCACATTAAATCAACAATGGAAAATTCTTTTAACACAATTTTCCTATTTTGAAAATGAAAATCTAAGATGCTGCTCTCTCACTGGAAGAATTATAGATTAGAAGAACGAACAAATAAAGTTCAAATTCATTATCGTGAGGAAGTCAGATATGATATGGTTTGATAACAAGTTTTGGGACTTTGTATAATTTCGAGTTTTTCAATCCCCCCTTTTCCAAATCTCACTTCTGACAGAGCGGTAGAAGTAATTTTATAGATAAAATGGACCTTGGGTATTATTTAATCATATGATATTTGACTATACTGGTTATATTTGGTGTTATCAACTTATCAATGGCAACTTAATTAATACAAGATTCCATAATTTTAGTTTTGAACAGGTTCGCATAATAAAATACGTGGACATTGTTAGTTGTTGAATGATCTTCTAAATTAGGGGATTTTTTCGACATTTTTTATGTCTAATGGTTTTGATTCTACTTTAGTTAGATGCTACTCCTGGTGCAGCATACTATCACTTCTACAGTTTTAATTGTAAGTTTAAATTTCTTAGATATTCATAGATAATTATATATATATAAAACATTATACAGATTGTACATCTCACCTTTAACAATAAATAAGTAAGTGTGAAGTGGGATCCCCACAACCACAAAGTGTGGAATAGGAAGACGACCGTTAGACTCAAATTAGGGTGTAATATATTCCAATAAACATGAAACACAACAATTCAGGGTAAACGGACTAATTTCATTTAATAAGTGGATTTTCAATTTACTGCTACAATTATTTTCTTTAAAACATCAAATTCACATCATATTACTTAAATATCGTCTGTCTTTCATAGTTCTGCTTTCCCAATGTAATAATGTAGTTCAGTTAAAATCAGAAAACTCTGAAATACAAAGACGACTTTTAAACTCAAGTTAGGGCTTAAACTAGTTTAATGATTATTAGACATAGCAATTGTACAGTGTAAATAGACCCCTTTCACTTAAATTGTGCGTTGCTTAGTTACTAGTAAACATATCTTCTTTGTAAAAACATCAAAACTCTTAAATATTGCAATAATGTCGTCTTTCTATTCCATTGTTTTCTGGTTATCGCTGGTTATTTCTGTTCATTTTAATTGTCTAACCTTAGTGAATTCAGGATGCAAGTGTCCGATGGTAGGTAGTGCTTGTGCCTGCAAGATTAACAGTGTTGTAAAAACAGTTTATTAAAAAGAATTGAAAAAAAAGATTTTAAAATGGAATTTTACTTTAAATATTTTGTTTTCAATAAAGATTGGTTAGAACGTTTGTGTACTTCTTCTTTCACTTGGTTACTCATGATCTTACCACCTAGCAAGCAATCATTGCAATTAAACAACCAATTTGAAGAAACCTACCAAAATTTTAAAAAACTAAATTTTAAAAATTCTGATCTTAATAGTATTTTTTAAATCTTAAAAAACAACTCGATCAAGATTAAACTCATCAACAAAACAAGGACCCATTGAGCCCCCCTCCCCCAAAATATAGATATACTTTTCATAAATATTCCTTATCCGATAATGTCAAATATAGATATACTTTTCATAAATATTCCTTATCCGATAATGTCAAATAATACAGAACAAGGTTCGACGGAAGGTCAGATATACAGTATATATGGCAGTCGAATATGTGAGTCGATGTGAAAGACATAAACAGTTAAGACAGATGAATTATCAACATGTGAATATTTTAGATAAATCAATATTCACTAACGAATTATAAAATATCTGAATTGTTCAAAAGATGTATTTTATTTTATGAACAGTTTCTGTCATAGAATCGATCTGTTTATATACCAGTGAATATTCTGAGGTATGTTTTATATCTAAAATATGAGTGGTATTTGTGTTTGAATATATGGTTCTCTCCACGTATCTACCGTATCTACAAGTGTAAGAAGGTGTTTGTGCTTTAAACTTCAGGTAGAAACTGGTAGGTGCTTATCAACATGTAGTCAAAGGAAACGCCACAGGCCGAGACTAAAAATCATATTTTAAACGTCATTTCTTCAGACAGAAAGACACCGGCACAGTGAGAAGAATAAAGATTTATTAGAGATAATAGATATTATATTATTAGTCAGAAGATTAATTAGATATGTATTTATATTCTGTTAACCCCGATAAATATGGTGGTAAAAGAGGTGGAATAAAATTAAATGCCACAGACCGTCATAAATTAAAGTTAAAAAAACCTTTGAATTAAAAGTATAGATTTTTTTTTAAATGATAACAATAATCTTAAATGCCTCATTGCCTTTTGAAAAACGGAAGAAATGTAAAGTAATTTTGTTCAGAGAATCAATTCGAACATTAAGATCATATAGGTGGTTTCGACCGGCAAAGATAAAATACAAATAGTCAATATTTGAAAAAATAACACCTCTATTGCAAACATGATTTTGCTGTGAATGAAAGTTTACACCGGTTAAACTTGATTTGATTTTCTTGTTTCATGTTTTTAGATAATACTAGCCTTATAGGGCGCTTCGCGCCCATCTTCTAAATCAATTGTAAACATGTTCTCTTTGTGTACATCGTAAAACAAAACAAAAATAATTCGCGGATTTTCACAAAAAATTTCGTGGATTTTCAAAATTTTCAAAAATTTAATGAAGATCGAATTTTGATGGAGACAAATATTTGAAATTTTGATCATTCATAAACCTTCCCTGTGGTCATGTGATGTCCCACAAAAAATTTGGGCCCGATCGGGCCGTTTTGACGTTTATTGGATACAAACACCCAGACAGTCAAGCCAAATTTATATATAGATATTATAAGCAGAACTACTACTTTTCTAAACGATAATTGCGTGAATGAAGTAAATGGTTTGTTTACAATTACATGCGAATTTTGAAACAAACAAAGTTTATACTTGATCAGATTTCACTCTCAGAAAAGAAAACCATTAAAACTTATAGCTTTCAGCAGATATCGGAGAATATTTCGATATTTTGTAAAATTTGTAGTTTTTACAAAAATTAGAATTATTTTTTTGTGATATGTTTAAGCACTTATACAGTATACACAAGATAAATACAAAGAAATTGAGTATTTGCCACAAAATCATTGCAAACCAATAAAGTGTTAGATATTTCGAATATATTTCTCTGAGATCAAAAAACGAAGTTTGAAACATATAAGGTTAAAATCATCAGGTTGCAAAGATAAAGGGATTAGAAATTTTGAGTTATGACAGAGAATAATTTTTTGTTGAGAGTTTAAAGTTATTTTATTTGAGAAAATTGAATCGTTTAGGTTTAAAATCTTTTGATAGCGTATACTTTACAACATTTTCTTTTACTTTTTTCTCAGCCGTTGTGCCAACGGGGCTGTATCCCTTGGAAAACATTGCTTTACAATTTCCAGGGAGGGTCTTAGCCCCAAAAGCCTTCCCCCCTGTATAGACTGTAAATTGTATAGGCTCCCGTGACAAATAACAACATACTTTATAAAATACTGTGAGTGATCGGTTTAGACTTTTGTTACAATAATATTGTTCAATATACAATAGTTGTATTGTAAATTATATTAAAAACTCTCGCTGTGAATGAGTATAATTCTGAAAATGATGCATTTTTTTACATTTGTTAGTATCCAACCCGTTAAATGTTTTTTTTGCAGAAACTATTTGGAATGATGTTAAACGGATAAAAAATATTTATAAAAAGAGGGTTAAGCTAGTTATGTTCTCATTCGCGTAAGAAACAATTACCTAATTTACGGATTGAAAAACTGCCCAGTTTACCTATAAAAAAAAGAAATTTATGATGACCATTTTCTAGTGAAAGTATAAAAAATTATCAATTGTTTCCATTTATTCTAAAAAAAGAAATTATAAGAACTGTTTTGCAAGTTTTTTAAATGGGTAGGATGAATTTCGGTACGTCAATGAAAAAACCTTTAATAAAAGGCCTTTTTTTATCTAACGCCTGGGGGCGTGGGATGCCCCAAAGGAGTTACATAGATTGAGAGACCCCTAATATTTATAGAGTTAATGTTAAAAAATATAACCTAACATATGTGTGTGTGGGCTCAAATCGAACCTCAACTGCTAATAAACAAGTTTAGTTCAAATCAAGTTTGAACTAAATCAGCTGCGAAATTATACAGTGAGTCTCAAAAAACTTTCTAGTTATTAAAATAAACATTTTAATCAAATAAACTAATTGATACAATGTGGAATATTGATTAATTGAGCTAGTTAAACCTCTAGATATAAAATGTGTTTTTGGTTCTACTTATACAGGATTAGTAAAAAAAGTGTGATCAGCGTAGTTTTTATCAAAAAAAATTTTTTCATGAATTTATTATGCATGAAATTTCTGCAATATTTTGAAATATTGTTAAAAATATTTGATTTTTACATGATACATAAAAAATCTGCAAACCTTTTTTCTTCTTAAAATCTAAAGTAAAGAAAATAAGATATATGTTAATGTGTAATTTTTATCTAATCCTAAAATTTCATAAAAATCAGACTCATGGAAATAAGAAAATTCGCAAAATCGTAACAGGAAAATTCACAATTTTTCTAGTGTCATGTATATTTTGAAATAATCAATCAATTCAGACGGATATTTTGCGTTAACCATATATGTTGAGCACATTAATACCTTAGATACCTGCAGCAGGCGTTCATGCAGTGGTTCCCTAGATGCATAAGTCACATAACTTCTGTAGGTTGATACATATTGTGAAAAAATCGTTTTTTCCTAACGGTACTCTTAATAGCGTTGTGTTGTCTGATCAAGTATGAATTAGAGTTATCAATGTTTATAATTCTGAAAACGATTTTTTTTCAATTGTGGTTAAGTATTGTTAAAACATTTGTATGAATATATAGAGATAGAAATTACTTATTAAGAGATTTGATATTGTTTTTTTTCTGATCATAGATTAATTAACAATAACAGAAAGAATACAAGATATCGTCTTTACAAGATTCATGGATTTTTCGTTCACAATAACCCTGAGGCAGAAGCCCAAAGGAGTTACAACCAGGCTCTATTTCTGGAGCATACGCGTAACTCCTTTTGGTTTCTGTCTCGGGGTTATTGTGAACAAAAAACCCATAAATCTTGAAAAGACGACATCTAGTGTGATATCTGTTCATGTTAATTAATCTGTTTTCAATATTAAGATGAGTTTCAGGACTTTTTTGAAAATATTTCTCAGAAATTGTAATTTGGCTTTAGAAGTTGAGAAACATCAAAATATTAGCATGCTTACCATATTAACTCTTGATTTGTTGTTGAATTTAGATTTAAAAAATCGTTTTTTTTACGAACAAAATCCCAACAATGTTTCAAGTTAATTAATTTTGATACCAAAGGAAATTTATAATACCAAAGGTGGTTTAGTATTCCATTGGTGGGATTTAGATATCCTTCTATAGGGGTTTATAATTCCACTGAAGGTATTTAGATGTCCATCCAGGGTTTTTAAAATTCCACTGAAGGGATTCAGATATCTCTCTTGGGGGTTTAAAATTCCACTGAAGGGATTCGGATATCTATCCAGGGGATTTATAATTCCACTGGAGGGATTTAGATATCCTTCCTGGGGGTTTAAAAATCCACAGGAGGGACTCAGATATCTTTCCAGGGGGTTTAATTTTCCACTAGAGGGATTCAGATATCCTTCCAGAGGTTTTAAATTCCAAAGGAAGGATTCAGATATTCTGAATCCTTCCAGCGGAATTAAAAACCCCTTGGATAGATTTCTGAATCCCTTGAAGGATATCTGAATCCCAATCAATCCAGAAAGATAAAAGAACATTGAATAGAACAGGAAATAAAATCTTGATCCTGTTATAACGGTTTAATGAAATGAAGGAAGTGAGATCCTCCTTTTTTTCTTTCCATGCATATTTAGATTTTACTAAACAATTGTACAAAATATATTTCATTAATTTGTAATGGTTAGTGCTGAAAAGTGGAAATTCATAATTATAAATCCTTCTATATTTTGTTTTATTTCAATTAAATATAGATATATTAACATCGAAATGGCCATATCACAGAGAACATCTAGATTATAGACATGTAACAATATAACCTACAGAATACAGGTATTGTAATTTTTTGCTAAACTGCACTGTTCAAATTTCCAAAAAAGTGCTTTATCGATTTAAGGTGTATACTGTATTTATTTTGAAAGGGAATTTCGCTGAATTTATTCGTTCTGCAATATGTGAATTCTAAAAATTACAAAATTAAACTGCAAAAAGATTAACAGTGAATTAATGATTTGTTTTCATAAAATTTCAAAACAGAGTTCGTAACAGTGTGGTTTAGTCTGTGATAAATAGTTGTGTTACATAAAATGTCCTGTTTTTTTTAATTATCGAAAATAAAAGTAATGGTTAAGTTAAGTTTTGGCATAGCTTTAACAAACAACTAATAATTATGAACTTTTGATGTACAAAAAACTTAAACGAAAAGACGATATGTTAGTTTTGCTGAGAACCTATGCTTTTTTAAAATGTTTTCCTAATTAAATTTGTTTTTAAAGAACAGTGGTAAGAGAACTTTTTGAATACTTGTTATGTTTGTGACTTCTCTTCTGACCCAGAGGAAACTAGCCATTGTGTTTCTGACCTAAGGGTCTGGATGTTTGGTAACGTCAATTTGGTAAGGACAATTAGTTAATGACAATTTGGTAATGCCAACTTGGTAAGTGACAGTTTGGTAACGATAATTTGGTAATAACAATTTGGTAAGTACATATAAGTGACAATTTGGTAATGGCAAATTGGTAACTACAAAAAAAGTGACAATTTGGTAATGACAATTTGTTAACGATTTAAAAGTCACAATTTGGTAACTACAAAAAAGTGACAATTTGGAAAGGACAATTTGATTGCTACATAAAAATGACGATTTGGAACTACATAAAGTGACAATATTGTAACCAAAAAGTGACAACTAGGCATATAACTACATAATTCATGGGCGAATTCTTGGTAACGTCAATTTGGTAAGGACAATTTGGGAATGCCGAGTGCTGTGGCTAGAACAGGCTATTACAGTGACAAAATTTAAAGAAAATTGCTAAGAAGAAGAAGCTTAAAATAATCGGCTAAAATCATCATTCAACATTTAAGAAGCCGCAGGGCTCGGCCCCCTAGCCCATCCTAGCTGCAGCGCTCGGCCTAGAAATTTACCTAATCTAACCCAAAATAAAATAATAAATTGTTTATTAATAATTACAAATATGAATACTTTTTTATCAAAATTTTTACCTTACCAAATTGTTATTACCAAATTGTCATTACCAAATTGTCATTACCAAATTGGCATTGCCAAATTGACATTACCAAATTGACATTACCAAATTGACATTACAAAATCCGCCCATCGATATAAGGGGTTTCCAACCAAAAAAAGGTTAAAGGGAGTGTTTATTAGCGATCAAAAGCGCTTTTTTATCGCACTAAGCCTATACCCCCTTTCATTTTTCGCGAACACTCCCTTTAAATAAGATAAGTTTGGCAAGTGAAGTTTGATGGGGAGTAGACGTGCATTGGGGAGCCGATTTTTTCATCTCGATATTTTCCTTAAAACTATTCGATAATTATTTGTACATTTTAAGCGATCGTTAACAAAGGTATAGTCGTTGACGACCGTCAAAAAAACGATCACCTTCTTTAACAAAACGACGAATTAAAATAAAAACTACTTCTCCGTTTTTTAAATTTTTAAATACTATTCTTTTCAAAAAACAGTAGTTTAATTTTCTATATTTTCTGGGAAACGATCATTTCGTTATTCAGAAAAGTGAAAACGTTCCGTCTCTAGGTGAAGCAATGGCTAAAAGAAAATGTTTCATAATCTTTCTTCTTTTGGAAGACATAAAATTTGGCACACTTTAAATGTACATTAGACAGTTTAGTTTTCTATTCCTTTTCTTAATATTTGTGCGTATGAGTTGGAAACTTCAATTTTTGACGAAACCTTTTCCTCGGAAAGGGACGGATATTCGTCATGTCTCGGTAACTTATCCACAAATTTTCTTGGAGGATTTTCTGGTCGTCTTCGTTTTGGTTTTGGTTTGAGAACAACTTGAGAGTTGTTTTTAGCTTCCTGAAGCACACGAAACATTTCTCTAAAGTAATATTACAATTGTTTTGAGGAATACAAGCAGTTGATAGTTAAAATAAATGTAAGCTATGCTATCTCAGATAATCAATTAATTTTCTGAAGCCGGTGAACTATTATGAATATGAAATATTAAGCGACAGAAGAATATCAAATAAATTTAATACTTTAATTTGCACACATTAAGTGGGCATTCAGCAGTAGGTCCGTAGTCTCATTTCTTGGCCCTTAAAGGAGCCATGGTGTCTCTTTAGTCAACATTTTTTTGTAATCCTTATTTTCCTCTACTGTTGTTGTACTTCAACTTCAACTTTTCATTTAAGTTATAAAAACAAAAAGTATGATAGGGGTGTTAAATAGTACTTTTTTTTTGATTTAGTGCAAAAATCTTCATTTCACATTTTTAAAAGCAAAAAATGCTTAATTTTACAATCATAATATATTTCTTCCATTCGTATTTGAAAAAAATAAGAATTCTTATTAATAAAATTGCGCGAATGTCGCGTTATTATCCCATTTTGTTCTCGACTGTACAAGTCGACCAGAAAATTGATAAGAGGAACAAGAATTGAGACTATGAATAAAGTGCGGACAAATGTTGATTAAAGTTGATGCAGACAAAATTTCTTTTCAATATAAAAAACATGTAATATTGATGAAACTTTTGAAAAATGTCTCAACTTCTTTTTTTATTTTTTTTTTCTAAATCCAGTCAGCAACGAAATCATTCTTAATGTCTTTTTGTTGAAGGTTTGTCGAATGTTTCACCCAATTGTAACGTTAAGTTTCTTTGTCCCATGAACATATTTCTGCAATAATACAGTCTAGGAAAGTAGTGGTACAAAATACAGTCTAGGAAAGTAGTGGTACAAAATACAGCCTAGGAAAGTGGTGGTGCAAAATACCCATGTCCGAAGAAGCACTGCCTCTTTATAAAAATTTAGAGTATCGATGTATTTAAAATTTATTTTTTATTCTTCTAATGCAAGAAATTATAATGTTTTCCACAGTTGTAAATCGGGTGGGTGAGGTTCTAGGATAACAGACTCAGAAGTTGACTTTACAAAAGGAAAATCCACAACAAAAAGTTAATTTTTAATAAGGAAGAAAATATTTATCTACATTAATAACATTAAAATATTTCTCTTGTTGCTCTCCTTTAATATTAGACCGCTAACTTTTGTAATTTGTAATTTTTAAATCTAAACTGTTCCCTGGAAATGTTTACTTTGATATTTCAGAACATATTCAAAACATAATCATTCAGTTATTTAAAAACAATTAAGCTTAACGGATAGGATCAAAGGATACCTTACCTGAAAATTGCCCTATACTCGGGATTATACTCAAGACTGCAATAATCCCGACATTCTCCAAAATCTGTCCTGATACTTAGAGTATCTGTTTGTTTCATCAGAGTATCCTGGGCTGAGTCAGGTCTAATGTCCTGATCTGTTCTGATGTCCTGAGTAGACTCCGTCCTAGAGTCTGAAGTCGGAGATGGTTCCGTTTGAGTCTCCTTGGAGCAGAACTTATTCTCCGACCCATCAGAAAAGCCAGAGGATAAAGTATCAGATTCTAAATCAAACTGTCCGCTCATTTTCAGTTCATCCTTTATAACAAATAATAAGTTAATTTTTTGTAATGTAGTGAATCAAAGAATTAGCATTTTATGTTTCTAAACTAATAGATAACACTTATTTCACACTTCTGTACCTGTAAACTTGTAGCTTTGAGTATTGCTCCACTACTCCCAACATGGTAACATTCTTCCTCCTTCTCAGTAAATAAATCTGTGCCACACACTTTACGTGTCGAGCTGGTCAAACTGGTTTTAGTTTCTCGGTCATCTTCCAACCCGAGTCGGAAGTTAGGTTTGCTTCCATTTGTGTCCTAGCAAATCGAGTTTTATAAGAAAGGTATAAGATGTGAATGTGGTTAATGTCTTGTATTATATGGGTACAAACAGTTAAGATTTAAAGACTAAGATTTTATGACTTTATAAGTAAATGGTAAATTTCCGTTAAACAAACGAGAAAATATTAAACTAGTGAAAAATAAACATATTAAACATCAAAAACAGAACAGTGTATAAGAATAAAAATGAATATATTGTTGTAAACTAACCGGCAGCATCTTTAATTGTTTCATGCTGCACTATAACAGCTTACCTAGCTCACTTCAGTTTCATCTCTAATTGGATGATGTGATAGATAGACAGATCGATATTACCGCCATGCAATTTCTATTGGTTCAGCTTCAGAAAAGACACCAAACACATGACTGAACCCTGATTGGATCAAGCGCTAATGGAATCTGCATACAAGTGTGACCTGTTACCAACAGAAGATTAGGCACCAGTGACCATTCCCTTGTGCGAGGGAGGGGGTGCAGAGGCGCCATGATCCCCGCAAAAATGACCTCCGAATCGGAGGTCATTTTTGCGGGGATCATGGCGCCTCTGCACCCCCTCCCTCCTTGTGCTGTGCATGAAATTTATTTGTATCAAAGAAACTTATCACTTGCCTCAAATATTGATTTTCCTATCTCTATTTCTTTGTAACCTGATGGTCTATAAAAGACATTTCATATTTAAAATTTTGACTTTTTGTATATCTTTCATATTATAAACTAACCTTTCTGATTTAACAGAATTCATAGTTTGAAATTGAAATATTATAATAGGTCTTTTAAAGCTCTATAATATGATGATATCATCAACTCCTTTGTTTCTCCGGGGAGGGGGGTGGGTGGCGGTGGGCTTGCTTATTGCTCAGCAATTAATTTACATTTATTTATTGGGGTTCTGTTGGGGGGGGGGGGGGGGATAATCTACCCTCTTCTCCTTCCTGATGGGACTGAAACTAATTTCAAACAAGTAAACAATAAAAATGGAACTTAACTTACAAATCTCAATTTATTTTGGTTTAATTTTTCAAAAGAAAGAATCAATTTTAAGTATATTTTTAACGTTATTATTTCCTATCTGAACAGGTACAGAAAATTCTTGTTTACAAATCGTTAAGTTTAGCATTTAAGTCACAATAAGACAATAATGTTCATTATATTAAAAAAGGCGGAAAGGAATTGATTCTATACTGCACCAACTCTGATTTTCTTATTTCTATATCTTTACAACCCAATGTCGTAGACCTTTTCTTAGATCAAATAATCTAAATTTGAAATATCAAAGATTTACACCATCAGGTTGCAAAAGTATAGGGATTAGAAAATTTGAAAATTTTTGCTTTGATTGAATGAACATTTAATACTGAGATATTTTAATTTTTTAATAAAAATTACATGTTTTGTTATTGGTCTATGTTTAGAACTTGGAATACTTTGAACTATACAAAACTAGCTAAAAACTATGGCTTTAATAAGAATATAATAAACAAATGAATTTAATAAAATTAATTGAAATTGAAATAAACCAATATGTTTTTATCACTAAAAAAAACTTGAAAATAAGTTATTTCAAAATTATTTAGTTATTATGTTAATAATAGCGGAATCTAATATTTTTCTACAAGCTCAATTTTAGTTGACGACAGATGACGGTAAAGTCTGCTGCCTACATCACAAGTTAATATTATCTTCGCTGCCGGAGAACGAAGATCTCAGTTGGAAGAAAATAGTACGAAGTAACCCAATCAAACAAGTAAAAATAGAAACTGTGTAAAGTAAGGTATTAATCCAGCCGATGGAACGGGTACTCTGGAAACTAAAAAAAACAGTTCTTACTTTTAGAAGAAAAAGCAACATCTCTATTGAAAACAGTGGGTCTCAAAAAACAATAATTTTCGCAAAATACGTCAAATTTGAATTAAATAAATCTAATCTTATTTTGTTCGCTTGAATATGTTTCCAATCTGGTTTAGTGAATTAGGCAAAGTTAAAAATTGTGCAAAAACACCTATTTCGGGGAAATTGCATGGTTTTGAATTTTGATCTGTGTTATGCTCATTCATATAACATTTATGTCATATGTGTCTTGTACAATAATTTTCAAATATACAAAAGAAAATAAAACTAGCAACCCATCCATGACCTACCCATTGTAAACGCTTTTGTTAAGAACTGTGTTCTAGCCTGTGCAATAAATGTGATATATTTGTGTTCAGTGCTCTACCAACACCAGTCTAAACAAAATGTTCATGCAAAAACATTAATGGATTTTTAATGGGATGAAAGTAAATTTAAGATATGCTTTCAATTGAAAACAAGTTAATTTTTAGGAATTATTTCCAATGAGCCTGATATTCTGAAGTTTAAAAAGAAAAAAACGGATGATAAACTTGCTTTATTGCATAAATAAAGCTTAAAATGTAACAAAACAGCATGCAAAGAAAATGTGAAAAACTTAGGTAAAATAGATCAAACATTACATTCACTACTTATAAACTTTTTCAAAACACAACAACCTACCTTTATATCCAATTTACTCACAGCTGTTTCAGCACTTTCAATCAGCATTCCAGACTTTTCTTCCGCTGTCAAAACACCATGTACTACTTGATCTTGATCATTAGTTGCATTAATGTAAGGTTCATCAGTCTCTTCCTCGAAAGATGTATGATTATCTCCTGAAGAATTCTCAATTTTTTCTATTGGAACCTCTTCTTTGTTTTCATTGACTGGGTTATCATTGTCTTTAAAGCTGACAGCTGAACCAAGCTGTTTAGAAATTTTTACATTAACATGGCATTCTTGATCTTCAGGTTGATCCTTGATGTTGGATTTACTCATTTGCTTCACACAATCAGCCTGTAGTAATTCGGAGCAGAGACAGATAGAAAGATTCCTTCTGAAAATATTTTCTTTAATGGTCTGATCGGTACGTTTAATATTCTGTTCGTGGACTATTGATTTTATCTTGAGAATTTTTAAGAATTTATCAAAAAATGTTCCATTCTCTTTCCAATACCTGAACAAAATATTCAGCCGATTTTTTAAAAACTTTTTATATTATTTTTATATTGTTTTTATATTATTTTTATATTATTTTTATATATAAATTTGGCTTGTCTGTTTTTTATTTTTGAAAAATTTTGAAAATGCGCAAAAAAATATTATGAAATCCGCAAACTTTTTTGTTTTTGTTTTATACTGTACAAAGAGAAGATGTTCAGAGATAAAGCCACAATTAAAAGTTGAAATAGAAGATGAGCCCTAAAAGTCTAGTTACTTTATAAAACTCGTATGCATAATACATATTTATATTTTCTCCAAAGAAAACGTCTCTGTTTGACATAAACAATTGGTTCTTTTATGTTAGTTAGTATTTATCAATCGTTTTAAAAGATAATGAAAAGCTTATGGTTTTATGATTTATGATTATATATATTGACAAGTTTTATCTAACTCTTAAAAATATGATAAAGATACTGAACTACCCGGCGTTGTTTGTTGCTCACCAGTCTTCAGTTTGTAAGGTTGCCCGTAATCAAAATTCTATTCGATTAAAAGGTTTATTGCCAAATTAATGCCTCTTTCCCATCATTGTTATTGCGGTTTTCCGTTCTCCATGGCTTTTATTTTTTATTTGATAGGAAAGAAAAACGGATGTTTAAACGGTTACTTATATATACATAACTTATACCTAGGGTGTAATGCAAGGAAAGTTAATTGCGGTCGTGTATACTCTGTGTACATATCAAAACCAGTCTTCTTTGGGCGGAATTTGTAAACAAGAATAGATGCATTAGTGTTCGTTTACTATCCGAGGAGGTTAAAAACATTAAATTTGATAATTTTGATAATTCACATAATAGTTTCCTATGACCAGAATATTTCATTGATTTTTTAATAAAAAAGATGGATCCCATGTCAGGCTTTAACAAACGTCTTTTGTTTACATTACCGTCCAGAGACAGTAAACTGCAGTACACAAGATGCGTACACTTCTGAAATAACTTTCCTTGCATTACATCCTTGACTTATACATCCTCACACATGCACACCAATATATGTTTATGAATTTCAAAACATTAAGTATATATGTATATATGGATATGTATAATTATATAGCGTATCTGTTCGTTTTCTTTTTAGTTTTAAGGTGACGTAATTTTTAAATTTATAATATACAAACTGAACCTAAGCTTTCACAAAAGGAATTGAAACAATTATCATAAAATAACCACAACTACACCCTAGTTAACCTGTTGTGTGTGTTTGCCAGGACTGAATACTCCTCACTAAATATTCTCCCTTCTCCTCCTCTTCCTCTTCCTTCTGGTCCAGCCTCCGAAATCAGCCTTTTCTTCTCAACCACAAGGCTTAAGATCTAGAAACATAAGGAACTTATCAATAACAGAAAAAAAAGAAGAGTAGAATTAGAATCTGGGTCTCCATCCCTTGATCAAACAGCCTAACAGGTAAGCTAAAGTTCATAGAAAGCTTAAAAATAAGCTGATATATTGTTTCTAAGAAAAGTTTTATATATTTTTCTTCATTCATTCATAAAATTCTATTTATAGTGTGTGACGTTAGTTATCGAGAGATACGAGGATGTATTAATAAAGTATTAATACATCCTCGTATCTCTAATTATATTATTATATCTCTATTAATAAAGTCTTAATATGTCTTCTACATAATATAGACATTAAAAAAAATTAAAAAGCATCTTTCTCAATTTTGAAATTTCTGGAAATAATAATTAAAAACAGAAAGGGTTAAAACTCGTTTATAAACACTGTAAACATATTTATCCAACATTACGAGTACGACTTTGTGATCTCGCGGCTTCTCTAGTTTATATTTTTTGCACAAGTAGTAGAAAAGCAAATTTATCTGTTTACATGTAAGAAAGTCTAGATATTTTTGTTTTTCCAAATAGTTTTTCATTAATAGGAGTTAAGATAAAAACATGTAAGATTTTAATTGCGCCCATCTTCTATTTCAACTTTGACAACATGTTGCTCAATTATTCTTCAGCATTTTCTCTAGATAAAACAATACAAGTTTTGAGGATTTACATTTTTTTCGTGAATTGTCAAAATTTTAAGAAAATCAAAGATTTTCGTAGACCATTTTTATTCTGTGCATCCATAAACCTTTCCTGGAGTCATGTAAGGGTGTTGGGTCATTTCATAGAAAGACATTTCATAGAGAGGACATTTCATAGACAGGAATTAATAGAAGACTTTTATAAAAGACAGGACACTTCATAGACAGGACAAATCATACATAAGACATTTCATAGACAAAGAATATTTTTCATAGATACATTTTTTTTCTTCCAAGTAATTTCTTATCTAATAAATCTTATCCTGTGATTCCTATTCTTTCTACGATCTCTCTGATTTTTACTTCACATATTATTCATATTTTTGTTTTAAACTGATGACATATTATACTGTAGATTTCTTGTTAGTCAAACTTATCAAATTTTCTAAAAATGTGACGCAATACTGACATAACCAAAACCTTAAATACTGTCCCTGAAAAAATTGCTTTTGTGCCTTTGAAATTATTTAACTATGAAAATTCTTCTCTGTCTATGAAATGTCCTATCATAGAAATGTCCTATCAATGAAATTTCCTATCTATGATTTTGTTATCTATGCAATGTTCATCTATGAAATTTGTTTCTATAAAATGACCCAACACCCGTGAGGTCCCAGAAAAAAATAGGGCCTGATTGGTACAGCCGTTTTGACGTTTATTGGTCACAAACAAACAAACAGACAGCCAATTGAAAAGTATATATAGATTAGACGTGTTTAATTTCAACATCCAAATTTACTTTAAATCTCTTACTATTGTTTGGATGGGCGGATTTAATCGTACGTCAAGCAATTTATTTATAGTTTGAAGCATAATTTTCAACATTCAAATTTATCAATTTTTGGGGAAAGGAACAAGCTTTGCGGGTGATGGTGTATTTAAAAAAAAATAACTTTCTCATCAAGCAAAATTCATAGTCTTAAATACCATATTTATTATTATATTTACAACAGCAGACTGTATAAAATATAGGGATTGTGAAATTTGAGCTTCAGACGAGAATTCTTAGTTTTTGTATGAATTACTTTAAGAGATTGTCTTTTGTTTTTGGAATTAGGCCAACGCTGAGCCTACAGAAATGCTTGATTCTGTGAAAATATCCTTATCCTTGGAATTTCATTGTTTATGATTGATATTAAATAAAATACATTATGTTTGCATTTTTAGATAATGTTTTACGTGTACCAGAAAATTTACCTAATACGATATTTGACTACGATATTTCCAAATAAAGTGCTAAGACATTAAAAATGTGAAGATTGACCACAGAAAAGTTAAAAATAAAGTTAAATTATTTTGACGATAGTTTTCATAGTGTATGTTGTTTTTCGAATCAAAGCTGGAAAATACAAGTTTTTGCCATTTAAACGACATGTTTAAAAATAATGTCTGATTATTTTATCTAAATAGGTGAAGCATTCCATTCAGTTTAGAACAAATAAGATAAACAATTTGTAGTTTATTTTTCTCATTCAATGGTTTTGGTTTAAATTGAAACACAATCTTTTAATTTCATTTTAGTCTCAGAAAATACCTGTTCTTCAAGCTCAACTATCCTAGAGTCGTCTTGTTTTTTTAGTGCAGTGAGTTGCTCAACCTCTGTATTCAATTCTATCACCTCTAGCTCCAACTTCCTTTCCTCCTAAATCAGTGTCATCAACAAAAGCGGTTGCATCAATTAAACATCAAACGAGTGTCTTATAATTATGAATAAACGTGCAAGGTCTTGGGGATTTAAAGAGTAAGTTTAAACTTTTAAAGCCTTTTTATGCAACTTAATATTGCAAATCATATTTAACGTGAAATATGCATGCATTATACTTTCCATAGATTTTATTTTTTATTTTCTAAAACTGTCAATATCGTTTTCTACCCGCAAGCCTCAAACAAATTTTTTAGATTTCCAATTTCAATAAATACGAAATAAAGTGCTACCAGCTCCGGTGAAACTGCGTCTGTAATATCTAGTCTTCTCCACTCAACCTCAATAATATCCTCATTTTCTAGTTTACTCAAACCGTCCTCTGCAGTGACCTCGTGCTCTGGTCTTCTGCAATCATCCTCCACAATATTATCATCAGGGGATTCAAAGTGTTTTCACTTTTTATGTATAAAGTAATTTTTAACTCAGCCATAAATTGGATAGGTATTTTTAGGACATTTCAGAATTAGTACATTTCTTAAAGTATGACTGTTAAAAATTAGATAACAGAATAGGCCGAAATTTTTTTTTTTTGTGAATTTTCTTAAAAGCTTCGATCCTGCATTAGTAACATATTTCAAGCAAAGAAACAGGACAAAATTGTTTCTTGAATTTTTCCTTCAACCAGTGTGCATTTTTTTTTATACCAAGTGTACAATTACAAGTGCAAAATTAAATTTATATAAAAAAACGCGGACGAGGCTCAATACATATATTCATTTAAATCTCAAAATTAGGAACATTTTCGAAATAAGTATAAAATTTCTGATTTAATGAGGTCTAAACAAAATTTAAACAAAATGGTCATCATTAGCTGAGAGGCTTAGTTAGACGTTGTTTGGTCCAACGATAAACATTGAGAACAAAAAATATAAATATCTCAAAAATCTGTACTCAAAGAGTGCTCGAATTTCAGTAAAACGGTTCAAATCAAAAGTTCAACAATTACGAGCGTTTCTGTTGATCAATCAGAATTAAAAAGAAGAGTTTTTAAGTTTTTAAATCATTCAAGCCTAGATATGGGCTAAATAAATTAGATATTTTACTTAGATATCAAAAAAATTCTTGTTTTTGAGGATCCGATTTAAATTTAATATCAATCGGGACGCAATTATTCCCCTTTTTTGACACTCTATAGATATACTGTATCGTTTATATTGTGCTTGGCATGCTTTATTTATTTTACCACAGGGTCAGGCCAGAAGGTAGAAATGATTCTTCCCTATCCCTCAACATATAACTTTTGTATGTTAGACATATTAATGGGAAATGACGAATCATATTAAGACGTTGAAAGGTTCAACAATGAACAATTCGTTGCACATATAAATTTTGAAAAATGACATTGCATCTTATGTTGCATTACAATATTTCGACAATACTTTGAAGACAGACTCCTAAAACTCTCCTACCTGGACCACAGACGATCTTCTCGTCCCATCTATTCCAGAACCATTTCTTCCTTGTTTTCTTCTTTGAAGCTCTTGAACCTCAACCTTTCAATTAGATAAATGTCAATTTAAAGTGAACATGTTTTTAATTTCTGAAACACTAATATACCCGGCGTTTCCCGTGCCCGCCAATATATAACTTTGATTGTTTTCTACAGGGTTACCTAAAAAATATTATACTGTAAAGACGACCTAAAACTCTTAAAATATGACGATCCCATGGTGAAATAAAGTTTTCTATCTTTTAATGGCTTATTAAATGATGAAAAAAAGAGAAAAAAGTTTTAAATTGCAGGGAACCATGAACATAAGGAAACTTGTAGTATGAATTCCGTACAGTCGTCTCTAAATTCTCATGCTCTGTCGGTAATCCTGTACAATCCCTTGGCACCTTATCAGTGAAGTTTAAAATCCTCTAACGCTCCTGGGTCTCTTTTATATTTAAGATAAAAATTATCACCGTAAGCGAAAACACAAAAATACACCTGTTTTTTATTAAATTGTATGAGACATTGCAGTTCTTCGCATTTTTGCTCCAAGTGTTCTACTAAACCAGACAAACTAAAATAGTTGAAGAAAGATTATCTTTAAAATTGTATCTACCTGCATGCAGATAAATTAAGTAAAAGTTGTTTATTTTTACGACCTTTCATATACATAAAAAATTGCACATACCTCTTAATTCTGGATTTATCACTGGATGATTCTTCAAGTAATTTTGAGTTTATATTCTCAGCCTAAACAATTCAAATTTTTATTATTTAAGATTGGAAAAAAGTGACAAAATGAAAAATCCCACTTTCCAATTCGTAAATGTTAAGACAATTTGCCTTTTTTAGAAGTTATTTTAAGTTAAGGGAATTTTACTTTACTAAGGGTTCCCAAGATCAATTGTGTAGACAAAATTGGTCGAGAGAACCAGCGGTTAAGCAAATTTTTAATTTCCCGAAAAAGTAGTTGTGCACAATTTTATAGTCTTTTGAGATTAAAATGCGCGAATGTTTTCCTGAAAACTCCGCAGAGCCGGTGGTTACTTTGCATAACTGTCCTAAGGAGCATTAAATAACTTGACCTCCCTGGGGTCGTAAACCCTGAATTTGAATTCTAAGCAAATCAAGGTCATTATTTTAAACTGTCACAATTTTACATTGCAAAAGAAAGACTGATAAAATTTTGGTTACCTCTTGTAGAGATATCTCCATCTGTTCATAGACCCTAATCCTACTTTCATTCACCTCTCTCAGAGCAGTAGTCTGCTTAGTTAGGTACTAAAATATATAAAGATTTGCCACAAACTCAAATTTTCTAATCCTTATATCTCTGCAACCGGTTGGTGTTAACCTTTGATATTTCAAACTTGGATTTTTTAATCTAACATATTTCATAGTTTCAAATATCTAAGGTCTACAGCACTGGGTTGAAAAGATATAGGGATTAGAAAACCAGAGTTTGTTACAAAGACTCAATTACTTTTATAATGGCGGCCTAAACGTACTATAAATCTACCGAAGTTTAAACACATCAGAGCTGAAAACTTTAGCGTGAGATATCCTTAATCCCGATTACTTAATCTGAGTATCCAAAACAAAAACAGGGTTTTAAAAATAGGAGAGTCTCTCCCGTTTCTGTATTAATCTTAAATAGCACGTAAAATTTTAAATTTATCGGCTTTATATACGCAACTCTGATTGGTCGAATATTACAAGATTAGGCCGGTTAGTCTCGAAATTAAGAAAAAGAGAGGATATCCACCATTCTAAAGATTTCAGTTTAGATTTCTCAAGTTTCCTGTTTATATACATCATACAATGTTATCTCAGAACACGAAGAGACAGATACAAAGACAACGAAGATTACTAAACAAGGGAACTGGAGAATATAATGATTAATGTTTGTTAAGGTTAATAATAAAGGGATATATGGTTTGATTCCAGTTACTTAGTATTCGTTCACAAACCCCCAATTTCCGTTACACGCTTCATTGCACAGTGAGCAAGTTCATGTATTTATAATATGAGATACTAGCTGAAGGGCCCTAGGTTTCCCGTGAAAAAAATTTGATTTTTTGAATATTAAAAAAATTGAAGAAATAAAAATAGATTTAAGCCTATAACAGGCCATCCATGAGTGTCCAGACAAAATTTCAGCCCATTCGGTTCAGCCGTTTGGCCGGCTATAGGCAACGTATAATGAATGTTTTGTTTTATGGATATAAAACGATGAAACATTTTACTCTTAAATGCCGTTTTAACCTTCGATATTGTGCTCTGTCTCTTTTACAACGCTTTTGGAAGGAAAAATCAATTTTAAGTTTTATACAACAGAATGAAATAATTTTCACATTTTTAGTGATGGAATTGTGGATTTTTAAAATGAAATGACTTAAAAAGAAATTATGAACTTTTCCGAAAATCTAAGAAAAATTAAGGGACCGAGTGCATTTTAAGTACATTTTGAAGGTTAAAACTGCATTTTAGAACAAAATCTGTCATTAATCTGTCAATTTATGGGTATTTTACCAAATTGAAACATTTTTTAGATCAACAAAACGATGTTTATTGGGCCAAAAAGCTTAAACACACTTTTTAAAAGACGCTATATATTTATTATGTAGTGATATATATAGTACAATAAAAATTCCATTTGTGTTCATTGAATAATATTAATATAAATCGACAAGTAAGCATCCTAATATCATCCAACCAAGGAGAGATGCAATTTATACATTATGAATTAATAAACACATGTCGGCATAATATCTATTATCATCGATTTAGTATAAAAATGTGATCATGTTTTTTTTTATATATATCTATAATTTGTTAATATTGCATTTAAGTGCAATATTTTTTTAAAAGGACAATTATTTCAAAGAAATGTTTGAAACATTAAAAAAATACGCAATATGTGATGCAAAAATCTTGAAATTTTAGTTGTTCAAAGAATTTCGACTACTGAGGATCGTCATGAGGCATGAAACATTATGTTCAGTGTAATAATTTTGTAAAAATCACGGATTTTAAGCTTGTACTATATTTAAATGTGTTCACTTTTGAATGATTCTTGTATCTGTTGTCGGAGGTATTTGGTTTGGGTTTCTCTCGGATGAAGTAGGGATTTTTTTTGAAAAGACGACATCTCTTGGAGAAAGGTTTCAAATTGGATTTATGGTCTACAACATTATGCAATAACATTTGCAATTTTAAAATTCATTTTTAAAACAGTACTTTTTAAAAAAAAGTATTTAATCTTAAATCATAATTATCTGAATGATTTACATCAAATCATGAATTTTTCCTCGGAAAACTAAAAAAACCAATTTAGGTTTTTTACTATGTAATTTTGCATTAAAGCTAAACTGTACAGTAGAATTTTAGTTTTCATATTTTAATTTTTTAAAAACTTATAACGATGTTTATTGTTTATTGTTTATTGTATGTATTGTTAGCTCCTAGCAAAGATTTTGCTAGTCATCGAGTTATAAAAATATTTCTATGGAAACTTTATATTTTCCTATTATTCCGTAAAGAATTAATGGTGAGGATTGGGGGG